CACACACACACACACACACACACACACACACACACACACTGTCGAGGAGGGAGGTAAGGAAGAATCAGTCCCCAAAAAATACCACGAAGGAGTATTTCTCACAAGACTAACACAGGCTCTCATCACCTCCCTGCCAGGAGATGCCCTGTAGGTGTGACGTAAATGCCTTTCTTGTGAAGTTGTCACCATGCTTCCCACTCTGTCCTCAGTGTGGTACCAAAAAACAAAACAAAACAAAACAAAACAAAAAACCAGGATGAGAAATGCAAACTGAAGGAGAAAAGGGCCTGAGTGTTGGGGTGGGGGACCTGTCTGTGTGGCCCAGAAACGTGGCTCTGCCGGTCAGGTTACTGCAGCACAGGGTGCAGACTGGAGCCCCAAACCCAGCCAGGGCAAGAGCAAAGTGGGAAAGTCACCCCCAGAAAGGAAGAACAGATTCTTCTTTACTAAGCATTTGATTGGAATCTTTATCCAGGATGCTACATAGGCATTCTCTGTGTTTCTGGCACACAGTGGAGTCTGATGTTGACCACAACAGCAATAGGAGTGGCAGCGGGCAGAGGAGGGCTGACTTGGACAAGTACTGCCCGAGACGCTAGAAGCATCCAGTTCTCTTCAATTAAATCACTGAAAGCAACCCCACAAAGCAGGCATTGCATCAACTCCATGCTTGGATGGGGAAAGGGAAAGAGAGAGCGCTGATCGTATCTGGAGCTCCTATTACATACTACGTTAATGTACTTGGTGTCTTCACGAACATACTGAATTTCTGTCCTCGCCATAATCTTGTGAGGTACATAGCATGCCCACCTTCCTAGATTAGGAAATTGTGACCCAAGTGAAGAAGAAACCACTCAAGACCTCCCAGCTGGTACACGGGTGGAAGTCCGTCGCATCTGAGCAGCTGTAAAGTCTGACAAACTAGGCTGCCATTCAGTACTTCACGAGTTCAAAAGTCTAGTTCGAGGAGGACAAGTTTCCCAACTGCAAGTTATCCCTTGCCCTAATGTTCTCCCTTGAGGTTCTCTCTCCTTTCATGGAAGTTTCTTAAACATCCATTATGTTCTTCACACTCTTTTTCTCAGCCTCTCTAGTCTCTCGGGCAAATGTGAATTCGCACATTTTCACGGTGCATTATTTTGCCCGCTAAATATGCATTAAATCCAAAATGCTGTCATTGGAAGCAGCATGGCAGGCCTGCGGGATTCTCAGCCTCGTTCTCTGGACCCTACGGGATCTGTCACATGGGACCTGTCTGTTTGGCACGTACTTCTCGACAATACCAAGAGCTGGGTCAGGGCCTTTTAAATGTCTGTTTTGAGCTTCTGCTAGGAGATTCGCTTCTCAAATTGTCAAACCCCGAAAAGAACCCAAGTAGCAGTAGGAGGGAGAAATATGAGCAGAGAGGTAACGCACAGCGTATCATATATAAACATGGACGCGTGGACCATCCCCATAACCCTGTTTTGTCAAATCCAGCCCAGTCAAGTTCCCAAGTATTCTCAGAGGAGGGCAGCAGGCAGAAGACTCTGCGAGGACACTCTCCAAGCCGACCCAAGAACACAGAAGATAAGTGGGCTCTTTGGAAGGGATGTGCCGATTCTAACGTCATCTTTAGACGTATCTCAGGCCAACGCTTCCCCGGGACAGCTGACGAGCACACGTAAACAGATATTTGCGGTGTTGCAGGCTGTCTGAAAATGCCGCCGCTTCTCCTATTTGGCCCGAGCGGAAATCACGCCTCAGAACTCTGCCCTGCACGGGGCCTTGACACCCATTCTTTGACACCTACTCACATCCCTGGAGCCAGAAAGCAAATGTGACTGCAGGTCACAGAGGGCAGGGAGCAACGAGTTTGCTAGTTACTCCAGACAAAGGAAAATGAAACAGGGGGGAGGGAAGAAATATAAAGTACTCTGTTCAAAGAGTTCAATCAGCTCAAAGACAGGGGCACCACCGCCATTTCTGTATCTTGTATGTCCAAAGGGGGAAAGGGTGAGATTATACGGGCAGAACATTAAAATGGTAATACCAGGGCCAGCAGTGTCACACCTGGTTTTAAGAGCCACGGTGGATGATCTTTTAAACTCATGAAAAGGCGGGTACTTCTCTAAGCTCCATTTTACAGACGGGGAAATGAGGCACAGAAAGGGAAACATCCTGCCCACAGTCACACAGCAGAGACTTAAATGCACACAATCTGACCGTGGAGTTTGTGCCCTTAACTTCCGTTTGTATTGTCTTTCCTACTCGAAGGCCCACTCATCTACTGCAAAAGGCAAAAATGCATATGGTCCTCCGGTAAGAGGCTCAACTTAAAGAAGTCTTCCCAAGTGAGCCTGCAGTTTGAATCTTGTTTGATTCTCTAATGCAGACCATGAGAGATGTTTCTGCAAAAAGCCGAATAGTAAATACTTTAGGCTTTGTGGGCAGGTTTGATGAGTCAACTCTGGTACTCTACCATGAAGGTAGCCATAAACAATGCACGTGAATGGCAATGCTGTGTTTCAATCAAACTTTATTTCCAAAACAAAAATATGGCCCACGGGCTTCAATGCATTACCACAAACTCTAGTAGCAGAGCATATTTAAGCAAGAATGGAGCCCTCCAACTGGGGAAGCTGTGGGCAAAAATGGGGAATAATAGAAGATACGTAGTTGGAGCTGCTGCAAATTATTTTTGCCTTGGGAAAATTGAGGGAGAGAATGATTTCTTCAGTATTTTCTGATATTTCTATTACAATGAGGTAGAATGAAACAGTTCAGAGTAAAAAACCCATCAAGACAAAAATTTTCACAGGTGAAAATTATGGGAATGGTCTACTGTGTTTTGTACTTATATTTAATACTTAGTCCCATCTAGATAAATTTACATACTAGGGCAGGTTGGGACTCTATACTGGGATCACTGTCCATTCAGAATATTAGAAAAGGAAAATGAGTGGCAGAAACATAACTTGTATGGGGAACAGCTGGGAAAAAATAATCGGCAAGAAACAAATCTATTATCTCCTTAATCTTGAAAGCCAATAGTTTTAATCCTCTTTCTTGGGCTATGGTATGATCACCATGATGAAACAGCATGGTTCAAACCTCTGACACTCATTTCCAGAAACTAATTAGTTCAAGGACTGATAACCCATTTTAAAGCCTATAGACGGAACGTGCTGGGTCAAATCCTTCTAGGAATATATGTGTTACAAACAAAGCTGTACATCTCGAATCATCTATTTTAAATTATTTAAGATGCATGCTTTTCAGGACAGAAGAGTTACATGTGCCTTTGAGGTTTTCTTCCAGACAATTTTATTTATTGAAACAAATAACTTTTGCTTTGCAAAAAAACCCCCAAAAACCAAAAAAAACGAGAAAAAAAAAATCAAAGACACACAACCACCAACCTTCCTAGCATACATATTGCTCTGAACCAGAAAAAAAAAAAAAAAACAAAATATGATTGTTATAATGTGTTGTAGTCATGTCCTACATCAACCAACAGATGTTTCCTAGGCAAAAAAAAACAACAAAAACAAAAACAAAACACAAACAAGAACCTCTTAATGTTCCACAAAGACATTATTTCTTGCATATTAGCAAAATTAAAACATATGTGCTCTAACCTGTTCCCAGTCTCTCCAGAGGATTCTGCCTAAGAAGCAAGGTAATCAGATCCTGGGCATCGGGGGGTGGTGCCTCATCCTTTTCCGGCCAGTTGATCTCATCTAGAAAGGAGACACAGAGCTTACAATGTCATTGTTCAAATGGCAGTCCGGGTACCTACAGCCTGGATGTGGCCTGGGAGTTTGTGAGAAAGACAGAATTTCAGGCCCCATCCCAGAATGAATCAGAATCTGCATTTTGGCAGGGATGTCAGTTGGGCATAAGCAAGTTTGAGAAGTACTGTTTCATGAGATATAAAGCAGTACAGCTGTCAACAAGGCAGGGAGAGAATATTTCAACAAGCAGCACCTTCCATTTCCTTTTTTGATTCTTTGTATCTTTTTTTCTGTGCCGCAGAACTGGCTCACCACAAATTGTTCCTTCTAGTCACTAAGAGGATTTAATATGAGGGAAACCCTAAACACCTCTGTTTCAGGTGATTGCTCGTACAGGGAATCAAGACAGTAAGATTTTTCTCTCCTACTGTCCTTTAAATGAGAATTTGGCCACAGCCATAGAGTTCTTCAGCTTTGAGAAGCATGAGTTAATTTTGCAAAAATAACTATGTCTAGAGACAAATGAAAGGCCAAAGTGTTAAGCTTGAAGACAAAGAAATCCAAAGTAATCATAGTAATGGAAGTATTCAAAATCTGCCATAAATATGAGAACATGTTCTACATTCCACAGGAGTTTGCCTGAAGATAAGGTGTGTGTGCTTGTGTGTATGGAAATGCAATAAAAACATGAGTTATTTCTGTGTGTGCCTGCCTCCAGCTTCCTCTGCTGCAGTTTAAATCTGATTTGGAAAATAAAACATGAATATGCATCTGAGCCGTAAGGCATCGAGAACAAAGCCAGCATTTGCTGCTTGTGTTAATTAAACAGTTGATTCCTCCTGCCATTCAGGCCTTGGTATATCAGCAAACAGCCTAGTTATAAATCCATAAACAGCTCAGATATTGTAGAAAAGGGTTATACACTGCAGGCAACGCACAAATCTACTTTGTTAAAGTTTACAAATATGCCTGGCTTGCAAAGTCAACGATAGAGAATAACGCTGTGATTAAGGGACTCCTCGTACCGACTCGCATTTTCCCTCTCTTTCCACTGTTGGGCCCTGTAGCACAGTCCAGACGGTATCCGAGTGGGTGATGGAGGTGTCGGTGATGACTGATAAAACTCTGAGGAGGAGAGGCCTTTTTGATATGCTTCGGGGAAATTTATAAAAACAGCAGGTAGGGTACTAATAGGGCCTATTTAATTATCATTTAGTTTTGCCACAAGCCGCGTAACAATAGCGAGGGTCAGCGTGCAGGTTAAGATCTAAAGGTTATTGAATTTTAAATGAAAGATGAACAGCTGTTACAGAAATAACATTACACCATAACAACCACCAATGAAATCATTAACAGTCTGTGAATTAAATTTGCTTCCTTCCCATCCTCATTATTTATTATGTGGTAGACATTTGTTTTAGGGTTTATTACATTTTTGTTAATTTCTTCACTGTGCCATTAGCTATTTTCCCCCCATTTATGTAAATGTGACCCACATTAACCTTTTCTTCCCTGGTGCCACGTTCCTATGATGGAAAGGAAGACTGGACGGCAAGGAAATAATTTGCAAATCCCACGTGAATTTCTTTTGCAGAAAAAGCACACCATAAAAATCGGTTACACCGCCAGCGCCGTGCCAGATTCCATGTTAACGAAACTTCCTCAGATCAATTTTCAACACAAATTGATCTCCTGAGATTTGTCAGTCAGTTATGGGCTATGATGAGTGAGTTCTTTTAATGTGTTGGCTAAACTGTTTGGTAAAGGTTGACATTTTAGTAGTGAAGACGGCAATACTCTGCAGGATTACATTAAAGAGCTGCTTTCCAACAGTCGCTTGAAGATACTTACCACTGATGACTTGTCCAAACAGCTCTTCTGGAGTGTCCCCAAAGAATGGCACGCATCCAACCAGAAATTCATAGAGGATAATCCCCATGGCCCACCAGTCCACTGGCTTCCCATAGCCCTGCCTCAAAATCACTTCTGGTGCAATGTATTCAGGCGTGCCACAGACCTAAAAGATGATTGCAATATTAGAATAATTGGAATATTAGACATGAATCAAAATGAACACGATGGCTAAACACCAATTAGGTTGCCCAGAGTGCACCTGCTCAACCACATGGGCAGAGAACTTAAGAACAGCAATTATTAAGTCAGCATCCATAACCCCAAAGGCAATGAAATATTTAAACAGCAAAAAAGGGAAATTTAAATGCCGCTTTAATGTTAAACTATGCATAACGTGCAATTTCAAATTGAGGGTCTGACCCTGTTTGGTGGTTCTACTTATTCCACAATATTAAAAACATTTTTAACGCTTAAAAGAATGATGCATTCTTCATCTGTTGCCACCAGAGATAGTTTTAGTATTTGTATGACCAAAATATATATTCACATCCTGGTTACTTTATCAAAGCCTGACAGTTGAGATGTGTTTACCTTAAGTAACTTTACAATGAACAGATTGTGGGCACATGGTAATGAGGCATGCTTAAAGGGAAATGGGCCATGGCTGGGATTTTAGCACCCGGGATTGTACAATGCATCATGAGTTTCATGAGTACTCTACTGAGACTCCTGAATTCCTTACAAAAACAGTTTTCCATTTGTCTCTCTCACATTCTCACTTGTGCGCAATTACATCGTTCGTCTTGCTAATAGACCATAATGCTGGGGGAGGAATGCGGAGGAATGGACAGTTCAGAGAGGCCCAGGGAGAAAAATGGAGGCGATTTGCACTTTATTAAACGTAAGGCTTATACAGACATCTAGACGCCCAGCACTAATGTGAAGCTGGCTTATACAAGTTGATTCGGAATGTCGCTGGCAATATCGTACTTTGTATTTCCCTCTAGAACTGGGCTGCGTGCAAGCTTACCTGTTTGTCCAGGAACTCTCGAGCATCCTTCTCGATATGACCTTCATAAAGATTGGTAGTCATGCTCATTAGTCCCACCTTGGATAATCCAAAATCTGTCAGCTTTATGTGCCCCATGGAGGTGACCAACAAACTATGAAGCAGAAGGACACATATTTGCTTTTAAGTTCTTTTCTTTTTTTAGCTTTCTCCTTCCCCTATCAATTCCTAAGTCTATTTAGTGTAGACGTATCAATCTCAATATAGAACCCAGCCCGGGAAGAGATGAAATCACAAGAACATATTACACAGGGGTATCTGGCTCATGAGTGTAATTCACAAGGGAGGGCCAGACACTGGGTCCAGATAATCTTTGTTGGGAGCGGCCACATACAGTTTCATTTATAGGTCTGAACTCTTAGAAAAATTCTAGTGTGGGACTCTGACATCTATTTTCAGCATAATAAAACAATAAAGGATTGATTACCAATAATCCCACGTCAATCTGTCCAAGGTTTAAGTGAGACATAAGAACTTGGACAGAAAAACGTACTATTGTTTAAGATTTCAACTTATGGCTTGAATTTAAATTTCTACTTATTAAGCACAAAATGTAAATTTCTTATGTATGCAAAGGATTCACATTTGACAGCTTTATGAATTTAAATTAAAAAAAATTTCATTTTAAGGGGAAAAACCAAAATTTTAATTAATGTAAAAAATTAAAGAAATAGAGGAAGTGTAAAGAGAAAGAATATCTACTGGAAAGAAATATTCCAAAGTTCTAATAGTTGTCTTTGGTAATGTCATGAATGAATTTTTAAATTTTATTTTATTAAAAAAATTGTTTTTATTTGTCTTGAGAGAGACAGAGAGAGTGTGAACACAAATGGGATAGGGGCAGAGAGAGAGGGAGAGAGAATTCCAAGCAGGCTCTGCACTGTCAGCACAAAGTCCAACGTGGGGCTTGAACCCATGAACCGTGAGATCATGACCTGTGCCAAGATCAAGAGTCAGACGCTTAACCTACTGAGCCACCCAGGCGCTCCATGAATGAATTTTTAAAAATCTTTTTCTGTACTTCCAAATTTTCTGGAATGAGCATGAGTTAATTTTATATAGTTCTCAGCACACTTAGAATCTTTACATATTACACGTAATGCTTATAGAGCTGTCTGAAATTAGTGGAGAAAGCATAAAAAATTTAATAAATGGTGTCAAGATGACTAATAGTCATTTGGGGGAAAAAGTCTATGTGTATCTCAAATCAGACACTAAAATGAACGTCACATAGGTTTAAAACTTTTACATTAAATGGTGAGATAGTATATAATATCAAATATATCATCTTGGAGTAGGGAAGGGTTATCTAAGTATATAATACCAAATGCAAAAACCATCCAGAAAGCAACTAGTAGCATTCTATGATTCAAAACTCAACATAATAAAAAACAAACTTTTAAAAATTTAATTAACCCTGGATTTATCATCATCTTTTTCTTTTGTTCCTTAGAAGCTATTATTATAAGCCCCAGAACCTTTAAAGTACTATATAAACATTACCAAATATACTGCCAAAATAAGTCATATGGGAACATTACAGGACAATTTTAAAATGCGCAAAGCAGCATTAAAATTTTGAAAACATTTTTATAGACATAAGAAAACTTTCTGCATGGTGTGAAAAAAAAGATCTGTTTCCTCAGTGTGCATACTTGTCTGGTTTCAAATCCCTGTGTACAATTCCATAATTATGTAGATATTCCAAGGCCAAGACTGTCTCCGCAAAGTACATCCTTGCCATGTCAACAGGGAGAGGACCCATATTCTTCATCAAGGTAGCACAGTCGCCTCCTATAAAACACAGACACAAGACTTAGCAGGTATAGTATGAGCTAGGATTGAAGATGACCATCAATGCAGATTATAAAATAGCATCTACCCACAGACACAGTATACCAAGTTCCTAAGTGGGGACTGTGCAGAGTATTCCCATTTTTAACTAAGATGTGGTGTGGATAAAAAACATAAACATAAACATAAACATAAACATAAGCATAAACATAAACATATATATATTTTTTAAGGCAGCAGTTCTCCTAAGAGCAGATCTGGCTTCAAAGTGAAAATGAAATTTGAAGAACAAAATACACCAGTATAAAGCATGGGTTCTGGAATTAGGATCCTGGAGTTCAAATCCTGGCTCCGTTACGGGTGGAGAGATCTTAGGGAAGCTAGCCCTGGCACCCTTCTCTAATATCATGACAATAAGACTGTCATCCCTTGTAAGATTATTAAGTAGATTACACGAGGTGATATATGCAACAAATTGAGGACATTACCAACACTTATTAAATGTGTGATAAATGTTAGTTATCATAACCACAACGAAGCTTAGTAAGGCCAAGTGCTGGTGTGTGTGGGGGTGGGGGAAACAGGTGGAAATCAGGCACGCTACGCTTTTGTCTTGTGTCTACTAGTAAAGTATCTAGTAAGTCTCCCACCTCTTGGGTTTCAGTTCACTCATCCGCAAAATGAAAAGGTCGAACCAGATGATATTTAATGTTTCTTAGAATTTTATAGTTTTGGGATTCTGCTCAAACAATTACAAGAGCTTAAATTAGATGCTTTTGAAGATTGTTTTGGCCTTTCCTCATCTCTGCCTTTTATTAACTTTGTTTATCTCAATAAGTCATGGCCAAACATGCAGAAATTGAATGTAAAACTGATGGAAAGAAGAACATTTAAAAAGTAAACCATAAATGTCAAAAAAAGGAGCGCTAGATTTTCTTGACTTGTATCTCCTTTTCCCCTAAACTCATTTTTAATTTCATACCGTAGACCACAAAGAATGCATTTTTAATTCATTCTTTAAGAAACTCAGTGTCACGAATGATTTTATGTTATGTAATGAAAGTAGGTAGGAAAAATTCCATCACCTATATCCTAACTGTAATGACCAATTGAGAGGAGGTAGTTAGGATTAAAAGCTATTAAAAAAGCAAAACCACCGTTTTCCAAAAAGCACTAATTTTCCCTTCGTTATAGTAGAGCAGGCACTTTACAAGCAATTATCAGAAGATAATGACTGGGAAGACAGCCATCTCAGTGCCTGGCTTCATTTCCTAGGTGGATACAACCATTGGGTAGCACAACAGGGAAAGCCTCAGCTGCACAAAGGAGCAAGCAGCTTCTGGATACAGGGGTCACGTTCTGTGTGTCAGAGGCTGATGTACCTTCCACATATTCCATGACCATGCAAAGGTGGCGCCTTGTTTCAAAGGAGCAGTACATGCTGACAACAAAGGGATTCTCTGCAAACGTCAGGATATCCCGTTCCACAAAGGCCTGCTGGATCTGGTTTCGGAGGATGAGGTTCTGTTTATTGATCTTCTTCATAGCAAACCTCTGCCGGGATTCCTTATGCCGAACAAAGTAGACTGCCCTGAAAAGGAGCATAAGAGTTGGAGTTCACGGGAGGTGAGGATGCTTCTGGGTACAGGAAACCACGTGATCGTCAACATTTTTTTACATTCACAAGGAAGTTGGAATTCAGCTCACACAAGCTATCCTAGCAGCTACATACATTCCATTCCAAGGCAAAAGCTTACAGCTAGGTTTATTTATTTCTTAATCTTTCAATAAAGGTAATCGGCTGTACATAAGGCACCAAATTTGTCTTCATGGCAAGGATGGAAATGGACAGTTTCCAGAGTGAGCTATTTCCCAATAGGTAGCTGATGTTTTCAGTTTTTCTACAAACAAAATTCAGTATTTAAGTCAGAACAGGAAAAGAATTAACAAAAGTACACACATACCATGACCTACATCTTTTTTGGCGTTAGATATATGTCACTGACTATATGACTAAAACAATAATTTTCTATATGATACCAATGTTATCTGAAAAAAGGACCAAAGCTTCTTAGGGTAGGTGGCTTCCAGTTTGAAGGTAATTTACTCCCCATGACATTTCCAGATAAATGATAAGTGTGTACTAGGTCATAAAGAGGCTGTCCTACAATGAAGATACCTCAGCATGATTTACACCTATGCCTGTTTTAACAGAAAATTCCTCTCCCAACATAAAAGGGGACCAATAATACACTGCATTTCATTTCCATCCAACCCATGGCCAAGGTGACAGCCAACTTTACTGTAAAATGATGTTGCACCGAATTTCTGCTGCAAGACTCACTCAAACACTCTAAAGAACCAATTCTGGCTGGGGAAAGACAATGGACTCCCTGAACCTTGATGTGGAACAAACAAGTAAAAAGAGAGGAGGAGGCTTAAAACCTCACCTGGAAATGATGAGCAACAAGGAAAATGTCTTCGATCAGCTCATTTTCTCTTAAGTTACTCCTCACTTGTCATTATTGTGGGAGAATAGATTTGAACTGTTAGGAAATGCTCAAATAAGTAATAATTTACCCAAACCACAATCATTCACAGTAAAGTATTCCAACGTTTGCCTCCTAAAATGAGGGATTATTCTGAGATGCCTATCCCACTATTTTCATTGTTCCTAAAAAGAGAATGTAAGGGCGACTACAACACCCTAACTCCCTGCTGAACCAAGATGTCAGGGTAATCCACTTCTGTAAATCTTAGTATATTCAATCTCAGTTTAACTGGTATTCATGCATTTGGCTCAAGTGTGCAACTAGCAAATCGCTTTTCTGTCAAGTATGTGTATGTGTATCTTTGTCTTATTGTATCCATCTTTCTCCTTCACTTGCAAAATCACACATCATTTTGTCTCCGTTCAATTTTTTTTTTCTTTACTTTTTTTCCCCCCTCATTAATTCTTTGGTCTTCTCTTCCTTCCTTCACCATATACAGAAAATCTCTTTTATCCACACGTTAGGTAACCAACCCAAGTAACAATCTAGTGCTGTTATTCCCGCTGTACAACAAACTGACAAGGGAGCTGAGCAGCTAACACCTTCCACAGGGGCCATGGGTCTTCTTCAGGACGCCAAATGCTGGGGCTCCCATCAGCTGGGTTTATCTCCACACCTGTTTTTCTGGTGAGGCCTCATATCAGGATTAACTAATTTCAACAAATATTTAAACTGATGAAACTTGAGTGTGAAAAGGAAAAGCTTTGTTGTTCATTAAAAAAAAACACACACACAAGTGGGATGCTTTGGAAAGTACTGATAAATGTGTTAAACATGAGTTACCAAATAAAATTCCTATTTTAGTACGGGTGAGAAGGTTTTCTAAAGTTGACAAAATAATACAAATCTAGATTCCTACATTCAGATTGCTTCAAGTTCTTACGTTACCTTTATTTTTTTTCAACTTTTTTTTTTTTTATTTATTTTTGGGACAGAGAGAGACAGAGCATGAACGGGGGAGGGGCAGAGAGAGAGGGAGACACAGAATCGGAAACAGGCTCCAGGCTCTGAGCCATCAGTCCAGAGCCTGACGCGGGGCTCGAACTCACGGACCGCGAGATCGTGACCTGGCTGAAGCCGGACGCTTAACCGACTGCGCCACCCAGGCGCCCCTCTTACGTTACCTTTAAAAGCAGTGAAAAGTGGAAAACAAAAATGATGTATTACAAGTGTGGTTTATATAGGCTATCTTAAAAAGGCCTTATATCAAAAGACTAGTAGGCAAGTCTGGGTGGCTCAGTTGGTTGAGTGTTCAACTCTGGATTTTAGCTCAGGTCATGCTCCCCAGGTCATGGGATCGAGCCCTGTGTTGGGCTACACATTGAGTGTAGAGCTTAAGATTCTCTCTCTCTCTCTCTGTCTCTCTCTCTTGGGGCTCAGTGGATTAAGTGTCCAACTTTGGCTCAGGTCATGATCTCACAGTTCCTGAGTTTGAACTCTGCTGATAGCTTGGAACCTGGGTCCTGCTTTGGATTCTGTGTCTCCCTCTCCCTCTGCCCTGCTTATGCACTCTCTCTCTCTCTCTCTCTCAAAACTAAGTAAACATTTTTAAAAAAAGAGAGATTCTCTCTCCTTCTGCCCCTCCCACTTGTGTACACACACTCTAAAATTAAAAAAAAAAAGACTAGTTAATTTACACATATTGAGATTACATTAAATTAAAATGTTTACAGAGCGCATCTTTTTAATTTTTTAGTGTTTATTTATTTTTGAGACAGAGAGAGACAGGCATGAGTAGAGGAGGGGTAGAGAGAGAAGGAGACACAGAATCCGAAGCAGGCTCCAGGCTCTTGTCAGCACAGAGCCCGATGTGGGGCTCAAACTCATGAACCATGAGATCATGACCTAAGCTGAAGTCGGACGCCTAACCAACTGAGCCAGCCAGGTTCCCCTACAGTATGCATCTTTTTAAAATGATTTCCTACTCTGACTGACTTCTAAATTAACTAACCAACGACTCATTCTTTGTAGATCAGACTAAAGGCTTTTACAGTATTTTTCTTTTCCCAATACTGATTGGATAAAATCAAGATCCTCCTTGCCCTCCCCAAACCTTGAGCTTTTCGTAGAGAAAAGCTGGAAGGAGGACAGACAGATACTGAATCAGATATAAGGGAGCACAGAAAATAACCTGGTTTCCTTAAAAATAGAAGACAAGCAATGGTGAACACATATTGTCATGAAGAGGAATTTTTGAAACAGAATTTACTTTTTAAAATGAAAATTAGAGGGGCGCCTGGGTGGTGCAGTCGGTTAAGCGTCCGACTTCAGCCAGGTCACGATCTCGTGGTCCGTGCGTTTGAGCCCCGCGTCAGGCTCTGGGCTGATGGCTCAGAGCCTGGAGCCTGTTTTGGATTCTGTGTCTCCCTCTCTCTCTGCCCCTCCCCCGTTCATGCTCTGTCTCTCTCTGTCCCAAAAATAAATAAACGTTGAAAAAAAAAAATAAAATGAAAATTAGAATTTGAAATGTTGAAACAAATAGTATGTTTAGATAAGCACTTGCCTATGACTGACAGTCAAGTGGAAGACAGATTACTTTCCCTTTCTTCTTCAAGTATTTACTACTGAGTAGCTATAGTGCTGAGGGTCCTCAGACAAGATACTATGAACTTCACTTTAGACTGTCACATAGCTGACATTAAATTTTTAATCAACCATCACCATTTCTTCCATAAACAACTGCCCAGCAATATGTTTATGAACAGTAGGAAGTGGAGAAGGAAGAACAGAACTGTCTAAGACTTAATGAAAGAACAAAGTAGCAAGATGCCTCAGGTCTAATTTGACCAGCATCCAGACCAGGTTTCTCAGTGGTCTGATGTGAAAAAGGACTCATATCTTTATTCTCAGATTTGCAATTTGTAAAACTTGATCTTTTTGCTTTCCCTTGCTATGATGTACTTAAAACAATCAGTTAATCCCTAGGGGAATTTACCTAAATCAACTGAAATTAATCCTATAGGTAGCTTGAGACATCACTGCCTCAGGACACACATATCTTGATCAAGTTGCAAAAGTCAACTAGGCTTCCTAATTAGAATTTGCTGTAGCTGGATTTCTGCTTCTCTTATTCAGTTTTTATAATACCATACTGCTTTAGGACTATTACTCTTAATGCTGAAATCTATAAATCCCTTTGTTTAGTAGTAACTGTTGTCTTTCATATACCTTTCCTCCTTTCCTGTAAGTTCATATTCCAGATCTACTTAAGTCAATGGAGAGGAGACACAGAGACTGAAAGAGACAAACAGCAGCCAGCTGACAGACCGCTAACGCCACTAAGCACAGGTGTAAACCAGCCAAATTCTAACACTGGACTGAACTGATTCAGCCCCACATTTCCTCGCTTTCTTTGAAAAGGTTGCTTCTGGGTCTCTTTTCCTACACCGACCTGCTTTAAAAGTAAGAAAACCCAAGGGGTTGAGGCAACTGTCCTCTGTGAGCCAAGCTTTACTCATTCCACCCATGCAGAACTGAGTAGTGAGAGGGTGGGGAGAAATGGAATCAGAAGCTGATGGGACCTAGAGCAGAATGAATCAGTCCTCTCGGGAGTGTGAATGTCTGATGCGTATAAAATTATGCTTAAGTCTGAGAGGCAATACGTGAATCCGTGCGAGCAGATCTGTACGTGGGAACAAGAGTGCATGTGTTAGAAAAAAGGCTACAAGGAGAGAGGGGTGGCCATCAACCTGCACACATGGGTCTCACGGCTCTCTTAGGTAAATGACCCCATCTTTTGAGGAGAAAAACAGACTGATGCGCAGCAAAGCCAGAAAGTAAAGCAAAGTGGGAGATGTCATGCCTTTCAAATTTAGTCTTTAAAAAAAATTTTGTTTAAATGTTTCATTTATTTTTGAGACAGACAAAGCACGAGCAGGGGAAGGACAGAGAGAGAGGAAGACACAGAATCTAAACCAGGGTCTAGGCTCTGAGCTGTCAGCACAGAGCCCCAAGCGGGGTTTAAACCCACGAAATGCAAGGTCATGACCTCAGCCGAAGTCGGATGCTTAACCAACTGAGCCACCCAGGTTAGGACCTCGTTTTCAAAAATCTTTTAAGTCAATTTTATTCTTTCACTTTGAAAATATTCAAAGCCGTAACTGAAAAATCCAGGTGGAATCACGAGAAGAAGGCCTTCTATACCCAATGAACATGGCTCTAAGTTGTAACAAGAATACTGAGAGAAGGAAAGAACACTGTTTAGAATTAGCACACCTGTGGCCATCCATGCATCCAAGCCCCTCTTTCCCCACATCTAAATGGAAATAATATCGACACCACCCAGGGCTCCTGCGAGAAGACAGTATATATAAACCAACACAGTGCCTGGCACACGGCAAGTGTTAGCTCTCTACGAAGTGTTAAGTTGGCGTGAAGGGACATCTAACTTCCAGTCAGGGATCCAAAACACGTAACATGGAAAGAAGGAAACTGGATGGTATCAAATTAGTAGGTTGGCTTCATAACATGAACTGTCACTAAGTATGATGCGGAGAAAACGCTGATGTGTTAGAGACCCTCCTAATGAGAGGGCTAGTTCCCAGGCCGGGCAATTTTCACAAAGTCGAGGCATCGGTGTCACTGTGAGCCATGGATGCTGAGTGGCAGACTGTGACACATGTCAGGGAAACTTCCAACAGCCCCAGATCATCTACCCAGTGTTCCACTGGAACACATAAGCTTACAATCAGCCTCCTGACTGGGTGGACCAATGGGTAGAGCCCCATTCAAATTTTGAACTAAAAATAATTAAAATGAAGGGGAAATCTGTCAGAGATGTAATGAGAGATTAAATCTGAGAAGAGCAACAGAGGAAAAAAGTTTTGGCTGATGGGCAGAAGCTCCCACAGGCAGCTTGTAAGCCCATTAATGGCTTGGCCTGCATCCTGGGTGTTTAGTGATTCACAGCTTGTTTAACTTCTTGTATATTCCCAGCCATTCCCTGAAGTGTGATATACCTCATCTACTATACAGTGGTTTAATTGCACTACAAATGAGTTTACTCAACCAATTAGAACTCCAAATAGTGCTAAGATATATGCCCAAATTTTATACAAGTGGTGCTTCACAGATCATCTTATTCTAGAATTCCACTGCCAATAAAGTCTACCAGGGCTCAAACCCATAGACTCATTAAATCTAAGTTCAGTCTTTTCCCTAATGAAGGAAGAAATCCTCACATGATCTTGAAAACTAAAACGAACTAAAACCAAATAACAAACAAATGAAACTCACAAACAACTCTATACCCAAATAATTTCCTTAGGGGGACAAGTTTCAAAGGACCGTTGAACAAAATAAAATATTCTAAAAATAAAATATCAGAAAACATTTACAAGCTACATCAGGAAATATACCATTTGCCATAATCCTGAAAATAAATCAGTGAAGCACAGGAAGGACTCACAAATATTTAAGCTCTTCACTAAGTTAATGGTGTGGAAAATATTAGGTAAAAAAAAAAATCGTAAGCAGAAACATCCCTTGTGGCGTAACAGAAATCGCTTTTATCTCATCTGCTCATATGTGTGACAAATGGCAATAAATGTCTATGGGATTGTTTATTGCTCTCCAAATACAGATGGAATTGAGATTAATACTTAATTAAACTAGAGCTCTTGGGCTGTCTAAGATGGATCAGGACACAATATGTGTATTAATTACCCTTCCTGTTTCTAAGGAACTCAGAAGGATCTTGTCACCATTGACCCTACACTGTGAGAAGAAAAGCTTATGTCTATGAAAATGAATCAAGAAAGGGGCACCACAGGGGCGCCTGGGTGGCTCAGTTGGTTAAGCGTCTGACTCTTGGTTTCGGTGAGGTCATGATCTCACGGTTCGTGAGTTCGAGCCCCACACTGGGTTCTACGCTGACAGCCTGGAGTATGCTTAGAATTCTCTCTCTCCCTTTCTCTCTCCGCCCCTCCCTTCCTGTCTCTCTTTCTCTCTCTCTCTCTCTCTCTCTCAAAAACAAGTAAATAAAACATAAAAAGAATTAAAAAAAAGAAAGGGGCATCACTAATGTGATCAGAGTACGGACATCAACTGAAAAAAAAAAAACCTTGGTGTGATATAAAGACTAAAGGAAATGAAATGCTCTAAGTTTTCAAGCAGTCTTTTTACTGCAGTACTTGTCTCACAAGGTTGACTGGTGGTGGGACTGCAAAGTACTGGTTAATTCTTAAGTAGTAATGCTATATAGGAGTGTAAATATGTTTAGAGATAAAGATTATATATATCCAGAGGTAGATGCGTGTGGATGCATATTTACAACCAGGAGTAGGCACTATGGCACTCAAAACAGTGGAATAAAGGAGGCAGAAACAGGGATTTATATAAAAACCTTCCATGACTTCATAAAGCCTCCTTCTCCATACCTCTAAAATAACTCCAGGTCACTTGATACGTTTTCTTGATGGAGTATCCAAATAAAAAATGATTTTGGCCGCACATTATAGCCACCAGTGAAGGAGCGGTAATCTGAAAATTCAAGTCCCTAATGACATCTATTTGGCCTAAAATAAATGTGAAGAATACATTACTCAGGTGTGTTAAGATACAATAGAGAGTTTTCTTGAATTACTCACCCATAGGCTCCATTGCTAATCAATTTAATCGTTTCAAAATCACTTTCCCGAGGTTTCCTTTGAAGTTTCAAGGAAGCATTGGGGCTCTTGGAAACAAAATATGGAAGTTAGAAAAGCTGAAAACTCCAGACAATGACTTTAACAGCAACATAAATAATATTAGCGTGATACGCTCCAGTTTTTTTTTTAACTTTTTTTTAACATTTATTTATTTTTGAGAGACAGCATGAGCAGGGGAGGGGCAGAGAGAGAGGGAGACAGAATCTGAAGCAGGCTCCGGGCTCTGAGCTCTGAGCACAGAGCCTGACGTGGGGCTCAGACTCACAAGCCATGAGATCATGACCTGAGCTGAAGTCTGACGCTCAACTGACTGAGCCACCCAGGCACCCCTATGCTCTTGCTCTGGTGTTTAATACGCTGAAGTGCAGTATTGGCAGCCAAAGGAACCTGAGAGACAACTTTAAAGACCAATGTCGCACAGCAGCGCTGATCCACTACTTCTCATGACAGAGCCTCAGTCTCATGTACGTGAACCCCCATTTCCGGGAGATGAAGGCACCAAGCTTTTGAAAATTTCCAAGTTTGATTTACCTTTGTAAACTATTCTTGTTAGCCTCATCCTGGTGTTTTCATGTTTTGAGACTTAAGTCCAAAACGTCAAGCCTTAATTCAGGTTTCAGTCAGCCAGGAAAGAACGGGCTGTTGTGGCTCTACACAAGCTGATGGATACACGAACTCTGGTCTGTCCCTGGCCAGAGAATGTCTGTGTCCTTTCTGCGGTACCTTTTGTTTGGAAAAGATAGTCGGCAACAAAGACGCTCGAACAGACAATCCGTGTGCCTTTCTTTACTTCCCTATCATTATTCTTACGAGGCTTTAAATATCTATTTTCAAAAAGATAGCTCTTTAAATGTTGAGCTCAGGGGCACCTGGGTGGCTCAGTCAGTTAAGCATCAAACTCTCAATTTCAGCTCAACTCATGATCTTGATCTCCTCCTGGTTTGTGGGTTCGAGCCCCTCACTGGGCTCTGAGCTGTAAGTGTGGAGCCTGCTTGGGATTCTCTCTCCTTCTCTGTCTCTCTCAAAACAAGTAAATAAACTTTAGGAAAAACATAAAATAAAAAGTTGAGCTCAGAGGAAAATAATAAGCAAAGTGTTATGTTTTAATTCTCTCATACTCCATGTATCTGAGCATTGAGAGGGTGAGCAGTGACAGCCTCTTTGCGTCTGCTGCGGAGCCCAGGATTCCCTTCCTATTATTTTAGAAGAAATCCTATGAGTCTAAGGTACGTGTCACCCTCTCCAAACCGAGGCTGTCATGCGCTAACATGCTGTCCCACTCATCTTTTGGAGACTTAGGTACCCAGCTTTCCATCTTCCTCTCCGGTCGAGTTCTCTCACCATCCTGGATGACTTCCGTGTCCCACAGGTAACTTACCCAACACCCTGGCCTCTGGGCTACTTTAGTTGCTCAACCCAACGACTGTTTCTGTCCTCTATTTCCCCTTGGCCTTTGGCACAAGTCTTAGGTCCAGTCATCACTGTTAACACCCCATCACAGAAAATGTAATTCGGGACAAGGACCATGCACTTGCTCCACTATTCCACTCTGATGGGTCCCCAAGCTTTGGGCTGTTCAAAGCCCACCTGTCTCATTAACTCTTCCGCACCCAGGTGACCTCATTCATGCCCACGGATGATTCCTATGTCATTCAGAACCCCACCCAAAACTATCCCTCTGAGTGCCCCAAAATTCCACACCATATATATAGTTGCCAGTTTGATGGCTCTTCGTGACTGCCCCCCCCCAAAAAAAAACTTAAATCTAAACACATTCAAAATTGTAATACATATGATAGAATTAACAAAAATAACTATTGGGACCCCTGGGTGGCTTAAATGGTTGAGCTTTTAAATGGTGATTTCATCTCACACTTGTGAGACTGAGCCCCAAGTAGGGCTCCCTGCTTAAGATTCCTTTTCTCTCTCCCTCCCTCTCTCTGCCCCTGTCCCCAGCTCATACGCACTTTCTGTCTCTCTCAAAAAACAAACAAAACACCCGCCAGCTATCATTTATTTAGCATTTAGTAGTGCGCTGACCTAACCATCTAACACAAACTATCTCATTTAATCTTTTATCTTTTTTTTTTTTACAGAAGAGGAAACTAGGCACAGAGATTCCCACAGCTAGCAAGAGGTATGGCCAGCTTTCAAATCCAGGCAATGTTACTCCAGAGCCTGGGTTCTTAGCCCCCAGGCAATACAGCTACCTCTCTTTTCTGACCACCCCCAACTCGCTCCAGGCTGGTTCCCAGGATGACGGCATCCTGAAACTGTCACCTGTGCCACTGCATAGTCTCTTGAGTGGCTTCCCCGTGGTCACCCCTGTGTGTTCCCCTCACCCCATCTACTGTCTGGACTGTAGTCAGAAGACTGGAAGCCATGACTCTGATTGGGTCATCCTCCTGCCTACTTGTCTCCACCCCACAAACACACCCATTTCCTCCAAAGTTCAACTGCTTCCCACTGTTCCTTGAAAGAAAAGATTTGACAAAGATGAGCAACAAGGACCTGTATGTCAGGTTTTTACCCAAGCTCTCCAATCTTTGTGGTCTCCTTGCCCTTGCTCTCAGATGCACTCTGCTCCCTTGTGGCACAGTTTTTGCCCAGGATGTTCTCTGGGCCTGGAAGGTTCCCTCTGCCCCTTCTTATCCTAGCAACTTCTCATGCCACATCTCCTGGGCCATTTCCTTGGGAGATCTTATTGGACTGGCAAGACTAAGGTCAATTTCTGTATGTTTACTAGCACATGGCCCTTTTTCATCATTGATCTTATATTCAAGTTTAGCATTTTTCTTTTTTCGTGCATGATTTCTTTTTATTAATTTTTTTCTCTTTGAAAAAAAGGACTAAAATTATATGCTTACTGCCTTGCACATAGAAGCACAATACATGCTTAGCGAAGAGACAAAGTAATTAACACACTCCGAATCTCCAGATGTTGATAAACAGAAAAACCAACATATTTCATCAAGAAAGACACTTACACTCACTGATTCATCTGTTTCTGGTGTTTCTGCTGTCCCACTGTCATAGTTTCCCAACTGAGCCATTTCTAAATTAAAAACAAAACAAAACAAAAAAGCAAAGATTAAGAAAAACACAACAATTATAACAAGATAAGAAGTAATATCTTTGATATTAAAAACAATTTACTCTCTACTTCAATATACCCATGGGAAAATCTTAATCAAAAATGGTAAGAGCCACCAGCTGCTGTTTTTGAAATTGTTCATTATATGCCCTTCTATAGAACCCTATTTCTTATGAACACCTAGACACGGGTACTTGAGAGCTGGGCTTCTGCTTCAGCTAGCAGGATTCAGTAGTCGACACAATCACCATGGGGTGGGGTTGGGGCAGGTGTGTGTGTCAATGATTATTCTTATGATAGGATTCTCAAGACAGGCAAGTCTTCCCAGGCTCTGAAAGGCATCAAAGATACACTGACCACATCTCAGAGATGATTCTCAACTTGTGGCTGAGCATTCCTTGCTCCATTTCTTTCACATCCACTGAGCAATATCCCCTTCCTGGTACACTAAGAATTTGCAATTTGTCACAAAGGAAGTAACAGTTGTTAAGAGACGCTTGACGATGAGAAGGCTTGGGTCACCACAGTCAGCACTTACTAGGGACCTTTTAACCTCAGGCTCTTCCTCTGTAAGATGGGAACAATGTATTCATCTTTTACTAGTTTCTTATAAGTACGATATAGGATATTCGTGTAAGGCTCTTAACATGTTGACTAACAAAAATTAAGTGTTCACTGAATACTGATTGTTATTTATTACAATCCAGCATGGGCTGGATGCCACATGCTTGACAAAGTAATACCTTGGTGGTCTGCTTAAAAGACACAAAAACAAAAAAGAAAAACAGAAACAAACAAAAAGACACAGGCATTTAACCGCTCAATCCACAATGGAACACATCTCTGGGTCTACCTAAGTAAATGAAGAAACCAAATTCATTTTATGTTCATTTTAATTTCTACACTAAAAATGTTTAGTTAAAAAAAACCCAAAAAACATGAAGGAATTCCCTCCAAAACTTTGATAGGTAGTTTTCTCTGAGTGGTAAGACCACAGGTAATTTGCATTTTCTAATTTTTCAAAATTGAATGTGTATGCTAAGTTATATATATATATATATATATATATATATATATATATATAATAACTTATACATAAGTTATAGTTTTTAGTTACCTATTTTTGTATGCATCTAAAAGGAGTCCTTAGGCTCTCATTCCATGTATTCATATTCTTATAATTATAATCATCCTTTTTGGGAGAGATTACACATAAAAGATAGGAAGCAAAACAACAATGGAGTGTTGTCTCCAGATAAAAATTAACAAACTCCAGAATCTACAGTAAGTGAAGACTGTCACTAACTTTCCCGGTCTACCAGTAGCTGAAATTCAAGACTGAAAATGAGCTCAGTACTAACTACGTGCTTCCTTGGTGTCATTCCAGTGATGTCAACATCCTCTCCGACTAGGACCTTAGATTGTTGGACTGGTAGGTGAACCAAAATGTGTTCAGTTGGAGGGATTCTCAAGGAAGAGACTGACTTGAATATTGTTTGAATAAAAAGGCAATAGTAGCTAACATTTATTAACCATTACTGTATCCTGGGTAGAGAAATAACTCACATAATCCTAAAAACATCTCTATGAATAGGTACCACTACCCTGGTCTTAGGGAAAGAACACTGAGGCACAAAGAGGCCCATCAACTGCATGGTCAAGGTCACAGCCTGCAGGGCTGGTCCCTGGGTGCAGACCGGGACATTCCCACTCCACACCCTCACTCCAGACTTTCAAAGGTCAGGCTGGAGGGCTGTTAGTGCAGATGCTGACAAGAAGGGAAACAAATGGAGACCAGATTTTGTAATAACAGCAGGCTAAGTGATATTAAATCGATTAAAAATGATCCTCAGATCTGAATCAAGAAAACAAAGTGTCAAGAGTTAAAAACACAACTCCCAGTGATAAATTTGCATTACTAAACATAAAACTGGTCCAAGATCACTATTAAAATTTATTTAGAGTCTCTATAAAGGTACACAAATGGGCCTCAGATTATTCACCTACCGAAGTTCAGCCTACAGTGTTATTTCCCTCCAGGTAAGAAAAGTGTGAAGTTCTCACTCGCTCTACAATTCAAGGGCTGAAACAACCTTAACTCTACCAGCGTGAACAGTCACTATAATATACTTTGACAGCCTCCCCACTCCAATTATTTTCATAAAAAAACAAATTAAAAGATGGTTCTGTTTTAAATAGGATTTCTGCTAAATAACTATTATCTGAGAAATACATATTATTTGCAAGCAGTGGGTAGTAATGGAATGGAACCAAGAGTCAGCTTTTGAAGCAGGAAGCTAAGGCATCATTTTGTAATGCCTGAAGAGATTTTTAAAACTCATCTAAATACCATTAAACATCTGCCCTTTTTATTTCATTGATTTAAACCATTTCTGAAGACTCATGATTCAAAAAGGTAAAGATGGTAATTTAAAAGCCATGGGGAAAAATCTCTCCCCAGGGAACTTTTCAGAAAAGCAGCCACCAGTCTCTGATAAGTGATGAATCTGTTGTGGTATTGCTTTCAGTACAGTATAAATTTATCTGGCATTATCTCCCAGTAATGCATGCATCATTTCACTGGAAGCAAAGATCGGATGGCCGTAAGAGCAAACAAAGCAGGGGAAATAGGAGAGCAGGGCAGAGAGCAGCAGGTTCCCTGGCTTTAGATGGGAAAATACCTGTGCCAACAGTCACCATCATTACAAACAATTTAGCAAGATAAACACTGTTTGCAAATTCAACTTAATGAACCAGGAAGACAATTTTGAATAGAGGAGCCTATGATTGTTTTTGACTCTTTTTAGGCAGTATGTAACTCAAGTGTTTTAAATGACCACCCCGACAGTAACGAGTAGGAAAAGGTAGGGGGCTGGGGCGGGGGGGGGGGGGGGGGGGGGGGGGGGGGGGGGGTCATTTACCAGTATTAGATTTTTTAAAGAACCGCTAACAGGGTGCTTAGTCTTGTGTGTATTTAATAATATCAGATGTATTTTTTCATCTGAACCGACCAGAAATGCTTTCATACGCTTTAAAAAACATTTCCCCCCCACGGACATTCCTGTATATTATCATTTTTTTCGTAATTTTTTTTGTTACATGCAAAAACGGATCTACCAACACTGCGCCCGATCTATATCTATCATCAGTTGCATTACTCCCCAATTCCTTTAAATGTCACTTTTAATTTAATTACAATTAATTTCTTTAGCAACATCTTCAAAAGTACAAGTGCACTTGAGGAGAACCCAACGGAGCTTTGCTGGAGAAAAAACAGAGAAAGCTGAAACCGAAACCCTTTCAGGACACTCTGGCATTGTCAGGCTGACAGGCCTCTAGGATTTCAAGGCCTATCCCTATACTGCAGGTACGACACAAAAGAGGTCATGTTCACCTTTTCTTGTGGCAAAAGTAAAGAGCTGCTAAGTTCCTGTATGAAGTCACAGAGCGTAGGCAAGTGAAAGGCCAGCCCAACCCAGGGACTCACCTTCCAAAGGATCCTTATTGAGCCCCAGCTGGCTAATGATGTACCTGGGAATGTCAGTTTTAATACCCTGTCCTTCTTTGGCATGGCCTTCGGCTGCTTCCAACAGGTAGTAGAATTCTTCAGGATCAAATTCCTAGCAGAAGACAAACACAGATGGAAACTAACTTGAGCCAAAATTCTCTGAGGTTTTAATGCATCAATTCCTTTCACAGTAACATTTGCTGGATATACATGGCTGTGGTTTCTGCAGAAAGGAAGCAAATGATTTTAAAAAGTATATAATTCTCACCTCGTATTTGAAGCCTTTCATATTTTGAGGCAGTACATTTAAGTCCTTGGTAACTCACAGAATGACCACTTCCAAATTCCTCGTAATGTAACTTTGGAGGTTCTGTATATGCTCCATTTAAGAAATCTATCTCATTGAAAATGAACAAGTCTAACATTTTAATTATGCTTTTTGAGTAAAACTTTAAAATCCAGGGGGTGCCTGGGTGGCTCAGTGGGCTGAGCATTCAACTCTTGATTTTAGCTCAGATCATGATTTCAAGGTTCATAAGGTCAAGCCCTGCATCGGGCTCTGCGCTAACATCACAGAGCCTGCATGGAATTCTCTCTCTTCTCTCTCTGCTCCTCCCCCTCTTGCTCTCTTTGTCTCTCAAAATAAATAAATTAAAAAAGTAAAATTAAAAAAGTAAAATAAATAAAATAAGATAAAATCCAGAAATCTCATCCAGAAGATTCAGTTTCTCCTTCTCCATAAACAGCCACAAAAGGAGTAATGCTAGAATATATATTCTCAAACGTTTTACAGGAAACTCCATTAGTATAGAGGTATCCAAAAATATTTTTTTAAATCTCAATATTACCATTTCATCAGTATATCCTAAAGTTAATATTCCCATAATGTGAAGATGAAGAAAAGAAAAATATGAAATTAATGTTTTCGATTACCAGTGCCTATTTTAAAAATTTGGTAGCACATTTTACTCACGTCTTTTACTCCCTTTGGCTGTTACTTCTAGGATGTAATAAAAATCTTTAGGATTCCATCACTCTAGATGGATGCCATGGGTTTATGTGGCGTAAACAATTATGTTTACGGATTTAAATGACAGTTGCTACTTTCAGTTGTATTTCCTAAATGTTATTCCCCCAGGATGTTACCCATTTTGATTAATGCCCCAAATAGGCAACTTTAGAATATCAGCATTTCACCTGAATTACTCAAGGGTTTCTAAAGATTATGTATAAAGAAAGCTCGCTGTAAAGAGAGTAAAGCCAAAGGAGTGTATACACTCAGTGCCCTTTCTGTAAACCTACAATGATACACAGCACAAGCCTGAAACAGTAGGTATAAGACCAGTGGTTGGGGAATGTTCCCTAAAACTCTAAAGCTCCAGTTTCAACAGAGCTTCAAATAGTGTTGAAAACAGCAACATTTTCAATTCTACTTCTGAGCTCACTCGTTTCTATCTTTGAGAGGCTATACTTTTACTTTTTCTCTTCTGGTGTGGAGCGATGACTGAAAAAATTCACTTCCTCTTTTAAGGCAAGATTGTCTATTCGCGTATCTGCTGTTGTCCAGAGAAACAGGTTAGAATGCTAAGTGGTATTTTCCCTCAAATGGAGCAAATGCAGGAAGTCCACGCATGTGGTGCATAATTCAAAAAGTACAATGGGAGACGCAGTACAAAATCAGACTTCCTTTTGCTGGCATTTGCCAGTCACACAGTTCTCCTCCCAGAAGCATTGAGAGTATTTTTTTCCCCCTTTATCCTTCCAGAGACAAAGCCAAATGGTGCTTTTGATTCTGTGGTTCTAAGGGTCCTGGCCACTGATGGAAAGACCTACTCCACCATGCCCCGCCCTGTCTTCTCAAGATTTCCCTTCTCCCGTGACTCTCAATGCACTGGTATATTTTTTAGGGGGCAGTGAACATTCCACTATTACAAAAAAGCTATGAATTTTAATCAAAATAAGGGCAAAACCCTAGCAATCCCACCCTATACGTATATGTGTGCATGTGTAATACCGCAAAGCTGTACTGCACGGGGTACAAATATTTCTGAAGTGTTGCAAATACTTTAGTGACTAGCAGAACTTAAAAGTGAGTGTTGATACAGTGCTAAGCCCCTTAAAACTATTCTCAGGCTCAAAGCTTCATGTGTGTTCACAGTGTGGACTGAAATTTCAACCAGAGTTACATAAAACAAAAATTTTTAAATAGGAAAATGATTGACAAAATGAACTAATCTCTGAAAGTCTCACTTCTTGAGGTCTGTATGAGACGCTGGGGTACTTGCCCAAGCTGGTTGCTGCCTAGCATTTATGTCTAACATGCCGCATTTTAAAAACAGATCATAATAACTATAGATTATTATATATCATATTGCTGGTGTCCCTTTCTCTGCATCTTGCCAACACCAAAAAAGTAAGGCTCAAAGTTTTTTTAAATTAACTGTCACCTAGTATCTATGCTAAGGTTAACAAGCACATTAGTTCATGATTATCTTTCACGTTTGACCAGAATGTGATGTGATTATCACTGAATACAGCACAAATCCGAGAACTCTGACTTAAAACCAGAAAACAAAAATCACATCAGGATGTCCTCATAAACATTCACAAGTTGTAGTTCCTGCTGACTCTTTCCATTTAACTCTGGTCTTTGAAGCCAAAGAAACTGAAAGTTTCTGATGGTCACTGCTTTCCCACAGTTAACAGTAAATAATGGAGTCACATCTAGGGGCAACTTACCAGACACTCTAATAATCGAGCTGGGCGGGCAATAACAATTAGGATCTTTCGAACCAGTTGTTTAATAAATGCCAATTCTCCACTTTCTGAACGATCATGAGCCTACAAGAAAGATGATACAGAGTTGCTCTATTCAGTGGAAAAGGAAATCAGCAAAGCACGCTAATTAGATAATTACAAATCTCTGAAAATTAAGTGATTTAGAAAATACCTTTCACAGACAGATAAGCGGACATTATCTCTTCATAAATGGACACCGTTAAAATTCTTTACCTACAAAATGGCTCTATTAGCTAAATTTCAATTGCATAACTTTGATCTATTTGGTGTTAAAAATCAAATGTTAAAACTCCTAATGTGAACCATGAATGATGGAGAGATTAAGAGATTATGATGCATTAAGTACATGATACAAGTGGAGTGCGAGGCTGATAAGGGACCTTGATTTACCAGATATAGCAACGTTAGCTATGAAATGGCTAACACAGTGAAGGGCTGCTTTTGTTATCCTGGACATTTAACACAGTCATGAAATATATTTTACACGTGCACCATGATTAGCCTACAAATTTGTTATTTTACGACCTGTAAGAAGTGTGCACTGCTGATTTCAAATGTGAGGGAGATAACGTTTATACGTGGATATATTCATACCAATTTGATTTCGCATATTGAATAAATTATACCTAGGCACTCAAGTCAGTAAAATTTGACTTTAAATCTTTTTAAATTTTATGTTATCGTGTGCCTGGGTGGCTCAGTTCATTGCATCTGACTTCAGCTCAGGTCATGATCTTGTGGTTGACGAGTTCGAGCCCCACGTCAGACTCTGTGCTGACAGCTCAGAGCCTGGAGCCTGCTTCGGATTCTGTGTCTCCCTCTCTCTCTGCCGACCCCCCCCCCCCCCACTCGCGCTCACTCGTGCTCTCTCTCTCAAGAATAAACCTTAAAAAAATTTTTTTTAAACTAAAAATAATCAGTTCATTCCTACTTCTTACTTCTAAGAATTATCAGCTATAACCAAAGCCAGAACATACAAGGGGTTGTATTAACTCAAATAATATTTTATATACTAACATTATTGGGGAGGGAGGAATTCTATTAAGACAACACCAAACAAAATCACACAGCATGAGAAGAAAGTTTCCAGGCTGCCAAGAGCAAGCACCAACACTAATGGGTACCCTGTGTTTATATTTTAAGTATTGGCCGCTACAAAAAATACTAAGACCCATATTTGAAAGTAGGTTATAGTTTCCTATGGATATTATTTTCTTTGGCTAAATACACCTAAGTGAGAAAACAAATGGAGACATCAAGCATTTCATCTGGAACAGACCTAGACCTCAGGACTTTAAAAAGCCATCAGTTAAATCAACCTGCTCAAAGCCACAGGGGGACCTTGCCTGGGTCTACAAAAGACTGACAATGGGGAAAGCGGCCAGGAGATACCAGGCACACAAAGTCACAGCTGGGAACTAACAACAATTGCATCCTGTGGAAGGTAAAGGAAATTCCCACAATAAGGACTCCATCTGAAAGGCACAAGCTTCCCTGTGACTCTTTAGCTCCAAACTCTGGAAGGACACTATCAATGTCATTCTGAAGATAGTTTTAATTTTCACACAAGGACTGAAGAAAATGTTTATCCGTGAAGATAAATAAGACAACCCAACAATGCTCTTCATACCACAAGTAAACACGTTTCTCTGCTCAAAAGACAAATTTCTCTAAATATCAACAATTATATTATGCTATATGGCATATTCAGATGATTTTTGAAACCCAAAATTTTCTTTTTGTAATTGCCATGAAACAATCTGCCAGGTCTATTAGACAGAAACAAAATTAAATGTGTGTGTGTGGGGGAGGGGGGGGAAGGGGGTGGCAGGATTTCAACGTAAACAGCTTTGGATATTGATTCTATCCCTTTCAGGGAAAGCCTCTGAAGGAAAGAAAAACACAGGACTAAACTAGTAATTATGGTAACATCCTGGGACAGAACTGTGGAATTAAGGAAGGAGCATCTCACAGAGACTGACTACAGAGTTACTCTCTTATCTGCCTCTTCTGTTTCAAAACGCACCATTTAACAAATATCATTTTCAAGATATTCTCATAGCAAGTAATATGCATTGCGTTCCTAGCCTTTTTGGGGGGAGCTGTTTGATTAAAAGGAACAGCAGAAGTGAATTATTTGACAATAAATTGTAATGAATCAAGCATTTGACATGCATATATACATATCTTCTTTCTCCTTCCCTCCTTCCCTTCCTTCCATAGTTACTGAGGAAGCAAGTATCAGCCACAGTGCTAGGCACCAGGGGGTGGAAGACGATTGGGATGTGATCCATGTTCTTCAAAGAGCCCTCTTTGAAAACCCAAAACAGAGCATGAAACTGCACTAGGGTCAATGTGCCATCTTAGGGTTTTTACTTATAGGCAGAAAGGAGCCAGTGAGGAATGTTATTAGATAAATGTTCTTACAGCCACAGAGAATTATGAATTTGGGAGTCAGGACTACGGTCTCAGTGAACTGTCCACGTGAAAAGATACTCATTAGCCAGGCAGACACATGAATCTGAAAGCTAAGAGCTGCTGGTCGGAGATACAAACAGGAAGCTATTAGAGTACATCGGTCTTTAAGAGAGCCAACAAGACCACCAGAACAGAGGGAGGAGCAGTGGGCCACAAATCAGATGATGGGAAAACTAACTTTCAGAAAACACAAGTTAGAGGAAGAGCTCTTGGAAGAAGCAGAGAAAAAACACAAGCACTAAAAATATCTTGGGGCTCTTGGGTGGTTCGGTATGTTGAGCTTCTGACTTTTGATTTCGGGTCAGGTGAAATCTGAGGTGATGATCTCATGGTTTGTGTGTTCGAGCCCCATGTCGGTCTCTGTGCTGACAGTATGGAGCCTGCTTGGGATCCCCTCACCCTCCCTGTGCTCCTTCCTTACTCTCTCTCAAAATAAATAAACAACAACAACAGAAGAAGAATTGAAAAGGAGGGGTGTTACGAAGAGAGAAAAGGAAGATATTAATATTGCTGAATATAATAATATTCCAGTAAAAGAGAACTGTTCCAGTAAAATGTCCAGAGGACAAGATAGTAAAGAGGACAGTGGACTTCAGTGAGTTAAATGAGGGGAGGTCAGAAGCCATTCATTCAAGAGTTCTTCTATACGTTAGACACCACACTAGATGAACAAAACAGACAAAATCCCTGCTCACACAGACACCTCTGCTGGGACTGGTCCCTGAGCTATTACCAATCTGTGATGACATGGGTACAATAATTGAGTGCAAGCATTTAGCAGCTCTTACATTTTTAACATTTCTTGCACACCCAAATGCGTGTTCCTATAAATTTATTTTCATTTCAATTCATTGGAAAATTAGTGCAAGACAAATTGGAAATTAACAATGAAAAACAAAAACAAGGTATTCAGCCCCCTAAAACACTCTGAGAAACACTGCCTTAATGAACTACAATAGGGTGAAATATGAGAAATGGGCACAGAGTACAGAAAACTCTGTTGGGATGTCTGGATGGGAAAGAAAAATAGTGACTTCTAGTCAGAGAGGCATCTTCTCATCTTGCCAGAACTCAATTCAGTAGGGACAAATACAGATGAATTTCTAGAAAACTAGGATGCTAATATTTTCTTCCAGTTCCATGCAATTATTTACATATTCATGCTTAGAAAAACAATCTATGGTTTTTGCTGACATGGGCATAACTTATGCCCTATGGGGTAGAGAAATACAATATATCTAAATATAGAGACGAAATAGGTTTTACTTGTAGGCTGTGGCTGATCAATTTCAGTCACAAGAGCAGTATACGCATTAATTCCATTCTACCATACACATTCCTTCCTGCCCTGGGTGTTATCAGGAGCTACGCATTCAAGTATTAGACCTAGACAGGTACCTGTGTTTATCTGTCTTTTGGAAATTGGATATTTTGTTAGAAGAGGAACTGACACTAATGAGAATTTAAGTTGCCATTTACTACCCAATACCATGTGCAGGTTAATTAATAGGACACATGGCCTGGAAGGAGCCAGCAATTTTCCATTTAGCTTTTCCAGATATTAGAACTAGATAGCATCATCAAATAACGCACATGCACTCAGGCAATTTATAACTTTATGGGTGGGGGGTGGGGGGAAAATCACTGCCTGAAAATCCCTTACAATCCACTTATCCCAGAGCCATAGACTGTTGGGTCCCAAGGTTCCTGTAAAGGTTATTACATTAACTTTCTATTACTACTATAAATGATGACGAGAATCAATTTATAGCAAGTAGCAATCAGTTTTTTCTTCTTTGCTTCCCTGGAATATGAACTCTATCTCATGGTTACAATGTGTAAGCAAATGCACTCATGAAATTTTTCTTTTTTCAGGGGAAAAGCAAAACAAATCCGAAAACTTTATATGGTGGTTCATACCTCTTGCAGCAATTTATCTAATTTGTGTTGTAATTCAAGGAAGTATCGTGAGGTGATGAGACCCTGGCGGGATTTATCCAAGCAATCTCGAGCCAGTTCAATAATCTGATGGTGAGTGAAACTGAGCACTCCATCTGCTAGAGGAAGAACGTGGTCAGGAGAGTAGCTGGTGATTATTTCCTTCAGACGTTCTTCCATCTGAGCCGTGGCCTATTTAGAGAAGACACGCACACACAGATGTAAGACGACAAAACACACAAGTGGACAATTCAATCATCACGTTTAGTGAGCATCTCCAGACACCTCCACAAATTGTTAGTTTCTAGAAACTACTGGTGTATATACATAACATCATTACATACTTGTCAAAACCCACATAATACGCACCACTGGGAGTGAACCTTAATGTTAACTATGGACTCTGGGTGATGATGATGTGTCACTGCAGGTTCATCGACTCTTAACTGGTGAGGGATGCTGAAGGGAGGAGGGTGTGAATGTCGGTGAGGGGGGCTGGGGGGGCATCAGAGTATACAGGAATTCTTGGTGCTTTCTGTTCAATTCTGATGTGATCCTAAAACTGTTGTGAAAAAAGAAATCTATTTTTTTTTTAAAGCAGCAACAGCAGCCTCATCACATGGAAGAAAGATTTGAAGTATACAAGGGAAACTGACTACCCTAGGGTGATGATTATTTTTTCTGTCCTATCAAATATAAGATGGTCTATAAAGGCTTCTGCAAGTCAAACAATACCGTGAATTGTCATGCTTTCGTTTTAGATCTTGGGCTATTTCTTTCAGATGGATGCTCAAAAATATCAGGTTATGTTTTACCTATTCAAAACTCAGACTACTGCTAGAATTCCACAGGATAGGCAAGAGTTGTTTTGTTCAATAGGTTATAATGTACCAGGAACAAGCATCTTATATTATCCTTATCCTTCTCTCAAAAAGCTGTATCACATGTAAAAAGCCAAGGAGATTCCCTAGGTAGGATAAATAGAAAATTCCCTTTCCAACTTTCATTTCATTCTGTGGACGCCCTACTGCCTAATCAGTATCCTTTGCTTATATTGTCTATGAGGGGGCGGGGGTTTCTCTTGGCCTCCTGCTCCCCTCCTAAAATCCTAACTAGCATTAACTACGTGAGTCAGGACCTATTTCCCCAGTGAACAAGTGACATGTAATTAATAGCTAAGACAGCTTTAATCAATGACATCAATGTCGGGTTCATTGCAAATAATAAGCATTTTGCTACTGATTTATGAAACCAGAGATTTCCTTTCGTTTTCTTGCCTGGGGCTACACAAGTAGTGGGGTAGGAACAGGAACACAATGGAAAGACAGTCTTCTCCCAAATGTGCAGGAATACTAGTGCAAAGGCCGTGGATACTAGGTGACAGGAACTATCAAACAGCAGGCTTTTGCAGCCAGGACGTCTGGCAACAACTCTTCGACAAGTCCTCCCTGGCTCAATTTGAATTCCTTTTGCAAACCCAGTGGGGAACACTGCAACTGTACCCTCCCTTCTAAATTAATAGGGGAAGACATCAACTTGCTCAAGAGATAGGAAGTCCCAGAAAAGAAAAATGAGGTTGGGGAACCTCCATGGCTCAGTCAGTTAAACGTCCGACTCAATTTTGGCTCAGGTCATGATCCCACGGTTCGTGGGCTCAAGCCCTACAAGAGCTCTGGGCTGACAGCGTGGAGCCTGCTTGGAATATTCTCTCTCTCTCTCAAAAACAAACAAACAAAACAAAAGACAGTTACCACATACTACTCTATAGGTTTCTAACGAAGTAAAACAGTTGCTGCCTGAGGATTCAGCAACAGGGCCCAGATTAGGGCAGAGGGAACATGAGGGTCTAGAGGCTCATTCTCCCTGGGGTGCCTCATCAGGCCCACCCAGTGGGTGGGACAAGCAGCAGGATTCATTTTAGAGGCAGCTCAGCACACAGCAAATATGGCTAGTCCTCAGCCATTTTTTAAAAATGTTGAGTGATTTTACCTTTTTCAGAAGCTATGGTGCTGTTTTACACAAGCCCAGCTCGTTACTACTAGACTGGACCATTGCTTCCCGTAACAAAACCACCTTACACATGCTACACCCAGGTTGCCTGTTCGTTGATGCTAGGCATCTTCGATTCAATTCATTACCTTTGGGAACCTTTCTTTGTAGACATGGTTCATCATAATTATTTCATGGTCACAGCAGGCGGGAGAACGTCCGGGGCTGCAAGCAAAGCAAATTACCCTTTTAAACTTGCCTCAGCATGAAATGAAAATAAGCTTTTTATTTATAAACAATTGGTTGGATCAAAAGGACTATACAACCTTCGTAAGAGAAGTATATTAGGCGATAAACTACAAAATCAGTCATTAGTACGTACATACATACCCACACATGGTGACACCCTGGAGAGGATTTCAGAAAGGAAGCCTAAGAAATGGAATGCCACAAAATAATTACAGCTACGATGCAAAACTAGTTCAGAAACGTTCTTAAATTGAGCTTATATTCTGTATGTAGGATGCATTTGTTTTTTTTTTTTTTTAAATTTTTTTTTTTTTTTTTTAAATGTAGGATGCATTTGTGTCGTTCTGGAAACCAATTAATGAATTGCAATATAAAACAAAATAGGATCATTACGAACAGCAACATCTAGGACACAACGAACAGGGTAATTTCACACTTTTATTGTACACCTGAGCTCTGCCGTGTACCACTGAAAAGGTCTCAGAGTCTTCTGTGGCACAGGTGTCGACACTGAAATCCATTTTCTGGCCTAGCAAATACCTATTTGGGATGCTGAGGTAAGCACTTTGGACAATATGAAAGAGAGGCAGAGAACTGTTGTGCGCTTTCATTATTTCAACAGCAGTTCGTGTTTGTTCCTCGTGGTATACAGTCGTGCAACGTCAGTGCGAGTATTTACATTCCAGGGAGAACATAGCTTGCACCAGATACCCAAGGAGCTCCTTTCATAAAACCATAAAATGGGCACCCATGTGGTAAAATACAACGCCTTTAAATGAATTCGTAAAATTGGTCTTTTATTCCCTAACTCAAAATAATAACTCATTCCCAAATTATTCAGCGTGGCTACATTTACTATCAGTTTATGATGCTAAATAAAAAAACTACAAAGCGGGGGGAGGGTACCTGGCTGGCTTGGTCAATAAAGCATAGGACTCTTGGTTTTAGGGTTTTGAATTAGAACCCCATGTTGGGTGTAGAGCTTACTTTGAAAAAAATACAAAGGGGAAAATCCTCCTCAGGAAACTCAGATGTTCAACTGAACACCTGACAAACTATTTTCATAATAAAATCTTAAACAGGAAAGTATTCCGACTCTAGCGTCAAGATATCACACCGTGGAGACAAACTGCCTTGAGCGTCCAGCAGAGAAGGACCTGTCACCCGGCTGCTGGGACTGTAGAAGCCTTCAGCCATCAATCCCTTCAAAGATGGCCTCAGACGCAGCCACCCCATCCAAGCCACGTCCTTGCCAGGGTGCTGCACCCAGGGACTGAGGTAGGGATAAAAAAAAAAAAAAAAAAGGCCACTTGGCCCAGAAGCACAACTCTGACAGGTCATGCCATCCCCGGAGTCCCCTGTGGAGTCAGCTGTGTGACGGCTTCATTTGCCTCTGCCCCATTTTGCTTGCCTGCCTTCTTTCTACAAGTATAAATCCTGAGCACTCCCTACTAAGCATCCTGAACACAAATCTGTTTTAGAGTCTGCTTCCTAAAAAACAAAACTGTAAGAGATACCAAATGTCAAAATTCAAGGGAGACAAACTCCTAACAATGCATTCATGTTCCTGGAAAAAAGTAAAACTCATGATGCGAAGAAAAAATGAAAAATAGGGGTGAACTTTTATAATGTGGAATCTGAACGAAAATCCTTCTATTTTTGCTGTCCTTCCTTTTTAGCCAAGCTTAACTCTCCTAAAATAAGAGCATTAAGTGCTCCTACACCACAATTAGATTGTCTTGGAATTTCCAATGGCAAGAAGGCTTTATAGGAGGTCCCTTTGGTCCATCATGATTACTGCTACTATGGCAATTAGCAAATTGAGAGAAATTGAAAGAAAAACAGTAAGATGCCTTTCAGTGGTAATTAACAACATCACGTAGAGATGGGAAAATCACTCTCTATTTAGAGAAGTTCACAAATCAGTTAACACTGAGATGAATGGGACCACCCAAAGGCTTCCCTAGAAATGGTTAAAAACAGATAATCCAGTTAAGTAACATTTTTTAATCAGGTCCACACACCTCAGACTTCGAGAACGGGGGCGCATGGGAGTGTTCCTGCATCTGTTTTCCGTGGCAATGCTTTCAGTAGTACAAAAATGTTTTGACAGGAAGTGCAATTCATCTGGCGTTGGTTGGTATGGTAACTGATGCAGCTTCTCCTGGGAGGAAGAGGAGGACTACGAGAAACCACAGTGAGGTTAGGAGACCACCTCAGAAAGAAAGACAAGTGAATCTGCGAGCAAAGCAGTGAACCTAGGGGAGGGACATCACCATTTCATACTATTGCCTTTTCATGTTAGAACTATAATAATTAGTGTCTAAATGTGTACCCTTGTTGCTTTCTCTGAGAGGTCAAAATGCCTTCTATATTTCATCTCAGCTGTTTATAAGACCATTTCCCAGAAGATAGCTTCCTCTCTTGTAGGAAACTCAGGCTCTGAAAATGGGCAGGATCCACTCAAAGCCACTGTAAGAAAGTGACAACCAGAGAACCTGGGCGCATGAAATGACAGATTAGTTCTCAACTGAGTATGGTACCTCGCTCCTACCGCTACTCACAATCAAACACTGTGACTTTCAGGTGAATAACATAAAATGAATGTTAGGATGTGTGATCACAAATAAAGTAATGAGAGACCTTCCTTTACAAAGCATGCTGCCCTTTGACACATCAATATGTGCCCTGCGTAAAAAGGGGAAGAGATGAAGAATGTATTTTTCTCACCAATGTCATTGTTTTAAAAATCAGATTTCTCTGCCCTTTTTTCTCTGGCTGACACGTTTTTTTGTTTGTTACAAAACAAACATTTTAAAGTAGCTTCAGTAGTGGTGAGTTTTTTTAGTCCCTTGCGTATAGATTTGCTTTTTGAAGAACGTCACTCAATGGTTATGAGGACAACGTAATGTAGAAAAAGTGAATAGCTAAAGAACAGTTTTTAATCAATATGAGAATTTTAACTCTAAAGCAAACAGACTTTTCTTTTTGTTTTTCCTGAGAGGTAAACTCTACAAGCACTTCTCAAAACGAAGCAAAGCAAAACAAAACAAAACAAAACAAAATGGAGAAGTTTTTGAGCAACAGAACCATGATTAGAATAAGCATATTTGTAAAGGTAACACTCATTTGAAATCTCAGTTCTAGCAGGTTTTTTTTTTAAACCTGTCATTAGGTTAATAATACACTTCATAAACACTGAAGCATCACAATGAAGCAACCCTAGAAATTAATGACTAAAGCTTAAAAATGCCCTCATACCTTGAAATTATCAAACACCTTATAAGTACATACTGAGACAAAGAGGAATTTTTATAATGCAATGAGACTGTTTTGTAAGCCATAAAAATGAGAACGCTACTAGAAAGAGTAATGAGATAAACCAAATCTCCACTCAGAAAGAACAGGCACAGTCTTAAACACTTTTCAGTAGGAAGAAACAAATAAAACACAAACCAAATCAACTCCAACAATCAGGAAAAGAATTATGAAATCACTGCAAGCAGGAGAGATGCACTAATGATAAAGTGAAGATAAGGAAAGTAGCAAATAAAAAAAGAGAATTAAAAATCTATCCATACGTCTCAGAGGTAAATCGATATGCGCAATTCTGTATCCAAGATTTCAAAACCCTAAAACCCTGAAGGTTATTCATAAGTTTACAGTAATCCTTGTGATGGCACGGCATCGACCGGACTGATTGGAAAGCTATTTAAAATATGTATTTAATCCACTTAGTGTGACTGTTCATTCAAGGCTGCTGCAGAAATATTAATATATTTGATTATGCACTGCTGGCCAGGTGCTGTTGGGCTGCTGTGTACAGCACAGGGATCATGCTACCTTTCTAAAACATGAAAATTAATTCCAAGACTCACTGGGCTCTAGAGTTTCACATAAAGTATCTAGGGCCTGTACTTGCATGGAAACCACACAAATCAACTTCAGGAGAGTTAATTCCCTCTGGGGAGCCAAGGAGGAGAAAGGGATTGGATGGGAAAGGCTTTCTTTGTATCTTTAACATTTATTAAACAAAATAACAATTTATTTTAAAAACAGCCATAGCAAATGTAACAAGCTGTTAACAAGTGTTGACTCTGAGAGGAAAATTTTGTGGTCATATCAAATACCCAGCCACCGAGCTGAACTCCGTAAGTTATGTGCCCTGGGTTTACAGAATATGGCAAAATGAACGATGCGGTGGCGTGAGTGAGGGTTATAACCTTAACACTATTAAGAAAGTGAGGAGGCAGGGAGGTCCTCCGGGAAGAAAGCCTGTTTCATCTCAGGTGGAACAGCAGTGTCCAAATGGGACGAGGGTATCACCAAATCCAAGTGACACAGGATGGGTTTATGGCAGTGGGGACAACCGTAGGCCAGCAAAATGGCCCCAGGGGTTCCAAAGATACCAAATATAGCCCTAAAAGGGAGTTGATACTTGACAACGGACAAGTCCAAGGATAGGTTTCGGCAGAGACCAGGGACTCGCTCAGTGGAGAACTTTCAAAGTCAGTGAGAGCTGCAGGACAGCAGAGACGCAGAGGCCACTCTCAAGATTGCACACTTTGTTGAAAAGATGCCTCCACTGGTCTAAGCAACCCGGGGGGCACTGCTGTGAGGAGAGCTTCAATCATTTGTCTGGGGGTTTCCCAATATATTGTGTCTCATCACTTTGTATTTCTCGCATATTCTCTAAATGTGGTATCAGTGGGTCTCATCACCCAATTAGTTTGTGTATGACTCTAGTAGTGTCCTAAATCAAACCTACTTTCCAAGAGTAACGAGTTACATAAAAAAGCTGCAGAAGACTTCCCCCAAAATGTTCTGAATAATGGTATCATTTCGTCTCTCCAGATAACCGTTTTGCAAAGGACACTATTCATAAGCATGTGTCATTTTTTACTTGTTATTTATTAAAAGGAATACCATTTTATAGTCATACCTCATATATTTACAGGTGTTTATATTCTTATTTCCGTTCTTTCCCTTCTGTAGAAAATGATTTATCTGTTAAATATATGGGGGAATGTCTTCCTACTGCTGTGGTTCCCTATTACTTATTTTAAAATTAAAACTTATGATCTTAATATTATCTTGGAAAAGTTCCACAAATTAATTTTAATGGCAAAATTGGAAGTTAAAAGAAGTTACAATACTAAATATTCTCTGGAAGGACTGATTAATTTCCTATGACCAAATCTTTTCAATTTCAGAATACAGCATTTTTAACACTTGCCAGTTTTACAGTTGCTATAATACCCAAAGGATAAAGATTTGATGTTTACACTTCAGCTTAAGTAGTTCTGGAATTCAGCTAACAACACAATCATATGTCAAACTGAAGCTATATATTCAAAGTGTAATTTTGTGTTCTATCTTCCTATTCAAAACAATAACTAAAGTGCATTTCTGATTGACTAAGTGACTAACAGTTAACCCAGAAAGTGAAAATCTGAGAGAGACTCGGATCAGATTTAGAAAAGAAGAGGGGCACCTGGCTGGTTCAGTCAGCAGAGTATACAACTTTTGATCCCAGGGTCATGAGTTCCAACCCCACACTAGGTACAGAGATTATTTAAAAATGAAGTAAAATACATATTTTGAAAAAAAAAGAAAGAAAAGGAAATGAAACTACTAAGCAGTTTTGCAAAATTTTTGCCCCAAAATTTAAAGGACAAGGCCCCCCCCCCAAAATAAGAGAAATGAAAAAGAGCATGTCAAATCTTCACTAATTACTTTTATCAACAATAGGGAAAAGAGATAATTGAACTTATGTTAGGTGTGCAAAACCTACACTTCACAGATTTAACAGCTCCTTACATCGTTTGGCAAAAAGTAATTTTGAAAGTTAAAATTCTATCTTGAAAGAAAAATTGGGAATATGAGGTTAATAATTATATGTGCCACCTTCTTTAATAAACATGTAAGAGAAAAACTGTGTTACCTCTGGTTGGAAGCTGTTGGTTAGAAACAGAAAGAGAGTGTGTGTGTGAGTGTGAGTGTGTGTGTGTGTGTGTGTGTGTAACTATAAACTGTCTCGGGTGGTTTCTTCTTTAGACTACATATGGAAGTCAAGGATGGTGATAATTCCATTATGACAGATGGCCAGGTCATGTTCATTAATTAAAAGGTTTATTTTAAGAAACACCATGTAAATTCCTTCAAAAGAGCCATGAGCCCAGAGTCTAGACCATTTACTGGGTACTCTTACTAATAAACAAGGGGGTTGTTTAAAGCCCCTCAGTTCATTCTTTGTGCCTCAAGTTTCTGATCCATAAAATGAAGAGAATAACATCAACTATACGACAGGGTCTGTTGCTGGGATTAAACAAGGATTATAATGCATTCTAAGTAGTTAGACTAATGCCCAGCACGTGATAAGTGCTTACAAACAACTGGTTTTTTTTATTTGTACCAAACAAGGTCCAATTCTATGTTAATTCACCCTTTTTAAAGAGATTTGCTCTTTAAAATGGTGTATGATTTACTACAGATGGAACGATGAAAGATCTTGCACTCTCCCCTATTTTTCCTACAAGCAACAAATCTCTGCATCCAAACCATCATAAGACTTGACTGAAGGGCAAAGCAAGGTCATATAGCTGAAAGGAAGAATTTGGAGACAAGAATTTGGAGACTTGCCAAAAATTCTGTAGAAGAACAATACTTACATTTCAGTTAATTACCCTTTTTTTTCCTTGGTCGATCAGTTTTGGCATTCATTTTCACACTGGAGTTATCCAACTTTTTAACCTCTAAAATAACCAATAACCAGGAGCACCTGGGTGGCTCAGTCAGTTGAGCATCTGACTTAATTTCAGTTCAGGTCATGATCTCATGGTTCATGGGATTAAGCCCCATGCTGGGCTTGGGGCTGATGGCACGGAGCCTTCTTGGGATATTCTCTCTCTCTCTCTCTCTCTCTCTCTCTCTCTCTCTCTCTCTCCTCCCTCCCTCCCTCTCTCTGCCCCTCCACTGCTCACAGGCATCCCCCTTCCTTTCTCTATCAAAAAAAATAAAAAACCTTAAAAAAAAATTGATGGTTATGGACACAGCAGCCAAGGGTGACTTCACTGTTTTTTAGTGACAGTTTTATCCACTGAAACCATTTACAAATTTGAAGCACATTTTCCTGATGTGAGCCTTGTCACTGAAACTACTCAAGACTGTCAGGACGCTTCACCAAAATTATCTAAATGGACAATAAGCTCACATACCACAGCAAAATGGAACAGAGGATAGGAAAATAAATTACCTCTCCTCAAAAAATGACCAAGGAGATGGTAAAGAGAATCCATCAGATTTTAACATGGCAGTATTAAAGGTGTTCCAGAAAACTCACATTATACTACATACGGAATTCTGGAAACACATAATATAAAGCAGTGGTGACACCAGTTAGTTTATAAACTTAATTGTAGTGTCTTTTCAATGCAAGTACTATTACATGGCTGAATCTATATGCTTAGCACAGTGTTGGGGTTTGTGAATAACCAGCACCACCGCAACAAAACCACGGATGAAAACCCTACACAAAAGACCACAGATTTTGACAAAATGAAGATGGAAACGTATTAGATTAGAAGGAAATCTGAAATCATCAAGTCCACATTCCGGCTGGTTCAAGGGCGTTCAGACCACTCCATTAGGTATTCACTGAATACCTACAACATACCTGGTCTTTCTAAATGACCACCAGCTTCTGAAGCTTGGCAAAGACAGATATCCCACAACACCACTAATTTAACCTGAGAAAGCATCTATCTAACTTACTGAATTGTTTCCATTAATTGCTAGGGCTCTTGTTGAAATGTTACAGTTTGGGGCAAGGGTATCCTTCCTCTATTCCATCTTCATGGTTTCATTTTGTCTCCTTGTCTTAACTTACAACTAAATTCTTTTAATGTCCCCTTTAAAAAACACCTTACCTAGAAGGTACACATTTAAGGCTTGCCATTTTTTTTCTTTGGAGGAGAAAAACAAAGAAACAAAACAACAAAAACAAACAAACAAAAATCCCTCCATTTAAGACACACAAGAAAATAAGACCCAGGCCATCAAAGTTTAATGGCATTTTCAGTACAGACATCGCTGGTGTGGAACCAAAGCAATAAAACCAGATTGCATTTCCACCCCCAAACTACACCAAATGGTATTAAAACGAAAGCTACCAATCTCCTCCAAACTTGCGATCCTGGGACTGACTTAACTCAATTTATGCACCATGGTTTAAAAGCTGGTAGCAGAGAGTTTGTCCTTTTTATATTTGTCAGCTCATCAAGTGAGAAGTAACCCATTCACAGTGGCAGACATGCAGAATTTATCTTCTCCCTCCTACCAGGAAACACCCAGAGAAAACATCTCCCATGTAACAGAGTAAGAGAGCCGTGTGGCCGTGAGGAGGATGAGACAAATTAGGCACTTACAGAGACTGTGGAGCTGGGGGTGTTTGTCCCATAGCCAGAAGAAGGGAGAGAAGCCAAGGACCAGCGGCGTCCATCAGTCCTGGTGAGAAAGGGAGATTAGCTTTGGCCAACACTGGAGTACCATTGCATGGGAACTCCAGGGAAACTGAGTATTTTCAGCCAAACGAATGACACAAATACAGTCAGTGAGGATGAGGAAATGTTTAGCAATGACCAGAGTAAACAAACATTATACAGCAGGTTGACTTTTATTTAAACTGAATCAATACACCCAAACAAGGAGAAAGTGAATGGGTTGATCCATATTATTGATCTCTCACTAACGCACTTTGACAAAATGAATACCAGGGATAATTACAATGGTCAGACTCAGCAGATTCAAATGAATAAAAACAGAAAGGGAGGAGGAAAAATACTCGTAGCTGGAAACTGATAACCGAGGCCATGGATCTTTTGGAATTTGTACCTGAATTCCAGCAAGGTACAAGAGCCTGTGGGGACTTCCATTACAGCCTAAAGATGCTCCACTTATTTTCAAGGCAAGTGTCCTACTCATCACATCTAGGGAGGGGTTAGTGAGGCTCCGGGCTGGTTCAAGCCTTAAGTAGCAAATTACTTTCACACTAAAAAAGGGACTGACCCTATACTTAGAATCTCTTAAGAGTTACTGCCTTCTGGCATGACCTGGCTTCATAAAGTGTTGGAACCAAAGCCCCTTGCACAGGTTTTGAGTATGCACCCCATTCTGGCCAGTGATGGCAGGGGCAGAATGAAAATTCTCCACTAGTGACAGAACCTAATGCACAGAGTACAACCGTGGCCCCGTCACAGAGGCAAAACTGTCAGGAGTCCTTGAAGAGAGTGATTCTTCTCTCCAAATGGTCGTAGGGTAACCTCTGGGGTAGATTCTGGTGATGAGTGAGGGTCATTACAAGGGTCTCAGATGAGTTAATGAAGCAGCAGAGACAATACTATTGCAAGGGAACACCCAAAAGCGAACTTTCTGAAATCTCTGGTTTCCTGGAATCATTACTTTATTTATTCTGAGTAAGACTGTGACTTCAAAACCATATACCACTGTGAAAACAAACACATGCACATTTGCCAAGGGAAAAACAGGAAAAACACACATTATAAAGAGCCTTACTGCATTCTTTAGATGGGAATATCATATGTAGACTTTCTGTAATGCGTGATTATACCAATTTACCAAATGAGATATAAGAGCAGACCAAATTTACCACAGACACAATTCACAGTAAGTTGAAGTCAGAGGATTCAACAGCACTAGACTTGAATTTCAGAAATGTCACAGTTAGATGTTTATGTAAAAAAAAAAAAACAAAAAACTGACATCTGAGACTAAATTACATTCAAGGGAAAATATAATCACAGGCTACCATGGATGTTGCCTCCAATAAATGCAAATGGTCCACAAAGACAAAATGGAGAAATTGAAGGGGACGAATCACAGAAATACTACAATGTTAAAATTTCAGTAAAATTTACCTGTCATTTCTGTGACCATGATTGGAGTACAAATGAATCAAGTATGTTTTGTTTTTTTTTTTAAAAAAAAAAGCAAAATAAAGTGTTCGTAAATATACCACATACAAGGAATGGGAACAATTAAGTCATACATTCTTTCAAAATATTTTTAAGCAATTAAAAATGTTAAAGGTTTAAAAAGACAATAATTATAACAACATGGTTCTCAAGATGGACACAGGTGAGTCCTATTTTATTTGGCTACTTATTGAAGACTTAAAATTCCATGGTGTACTTTATATTTTAAACACCTATTTTTAAAAGTAAAAAATGATATGATTTTTAAAAGAATTATTCAGTCCATTTAATAGCAATTATCAGAATCTAGTCTCTGGAAAGAACGAGGGACACCATTTCCCCCACCATGATTTCGTTTTGTGATTCATTAACTCTCCTTGCCCTCAGGTATCAATAAGCATATTTCACATGAATGAACAATTCCAAGAAAAGACATGTTCTTATTAGTTTTGAAACATAAATTACATTTGCTTACTCTGGAAAATACACAACTAAAAGATGTTTAAACAAGACTGTACTTACTACCCTGTGCATCCACGGACCAGAAATAATTTATGTCTCATGAAGTTCCCCAAGTTCTCTGTGTCTATTTACTCAAATGGAGCACAAAAGACCATTGCGTTTTCATTACCATGACAACCGCACATCAGCTGTTACTATATACGCTACATATAGTACTTAAGAGAGAGCATGCCCTCTTTTTTCAAGAAGGCTATCACACAAGTGCAATTTGGATCCTGCTAACAATGTTGTCTTTTCTTTGCAGTAGCTACCAATAAAATGTTATTGGAAGACAGACTTCATCCTTGCCAAAGCAACAAGGCTTTTTTAAAGAGTAATTTTTTTTCTTTTCCTTTTTTTTTTTTTTTTCTCCTGTGGGTAAAAATCTCTCAATGTTAAACTAAGTGAAAAAGTAAGAAGCAAAAAACATCAGATGAGAACACAGAATACAAAAAGATTGGCACAAAAACCCAGCATTTCAACATGACTCACAAAAATTTAGATTAATACAGTGTACAATGAAGAATGAAAAGTCCCAGTATCAACCTGGCTATTATAATTGTATGAAGAGGAAGAAGATTTATTTATTTAATTGTTATAAGTCACCTGGTTGACTTATAATTCTGGTTGATCCTGGAACAAGCTGAACTATGCCAGCACTCAACAAGCGTCTTATGACCTGAACTCAGCAGGCAATTGCTGAGTTCTAGTAATTTGCTTGTGCAAATACATTCTGAGATTTACTCTGGTAAGCAACAACAAGCCAACTAGGAAACACCTATGGCATGTATTCAGGGCTCCATATTTCCAACCTAAGTAAAAGCAGTTCCCAAATAAGTCCCACACCTTCCGGGAAAGGCAGAACAATGTTATTACCTCCATCTTCTCACCCAGGAAAAAAAATGTTAATTCCGTAATCGGATGGATTGTAAATCAGTATCACAGTTATTAGCAAAATAAAAATATTTACTATACTACAATGCTCATTTTCAGCCTTTTAGCACAGTGGTAAAAAAAAAAAAAATCAGTATGAGAATTTTACCTTTAATATATGTATTAGATGATGCAGAAAGCAAGCGAGTGTCATATTTTCCAGCCTGAAATTAAACTATTACATCACAGGGGATGTCTACTGGTGGGTTATTATTACATATATAAGATGAGAAAACATTAATAAACCTGATCTTTATCCCTTCACTCAAGAATAGTTTTAAAAAACACAGCAATCTCTTCTCTGCTGAACTGAATATACAAAATAATAAAATGTGAGACCCTCAAAAATGGTATTATTTCTTAAAGGCTCAAAAATGCATACCAAATGGAAGGGAATGGAGACCCATGAGTTCCATGTCTCCTTAATAAAAATCAACTTTAAGATGGAAGACAGACACACCAGAGGTTATATAAAAATACACCAATTTGAGTTTTTATAGCAAATGTAGGATTGTTTACTTGAATAAAAGTTTAAAAAGATGATCACTCATGTCTTAATTGAAATTAATACTTTTTGAAGACTGTAGAGGGAGGTCCATCTGTAAATTCATGCAAAATGAGCTAGAGTTCTGTGCTCATCTTGTGTCATGGTTGAAGGTTTACTGGTCAAAAACTAGCATATGCCTGGGGGTTTGTGTATTTTGTTAAATAGCATAGAAACCAAACTGACCTATCCTCTAGTCACCCACTTAATTATCAGGTTTTCTTCATTTTTATAAATAAGGCAGGATGAAGAGACTATGATTTCTGTCATGCTTAAATGCATGTTGTAATGAGATTTGCATTTTTCTTACTACTTAATGTGATGAAATGCATTCTTTTAAGAGATATGTTTTAAAGGCTATGGTGGGTTCTTGTTTATTAATTTTTTGTAAGGTTTTTTTTTTCCACTTAGAGTAGCAGCATTATCATGAATTAATATTCACTGGGCAAACACAGGCTTTGTGGGACCTGTTAATTTTCGCATTTTTTTTAAGTGCTTAAAACAAGTTGCTAAAAGAAGAAAAGCTGGAAAAGGGCCAAAAGTCAGGCGGGGGGGGGGGGGGGGGGAGGTGTCTCAAGTTCCTTAGAGAGCATGTCTTATACTCTTGTGTCCTGCCCACAGTGAAGCCTGGAACCTTACACACACAGGCATTTACCACATAGTGGGGAATGTGTGACATTTACAAGGGAATCTTAATTACAGAGAATTCTGAAAATACTGCCAACAGATCCTTTTCTCTGGATTTAGTAATGTAAATGCATTACGTGCTGACAAATGGCAGTGAGGACACTCCAGGTTTTGCTGCTTAGTAACATGTGTTAAAACCATTTTTTTTTTTAAACCTACACACAAGTCTTTATTAGTGCTATGTTAATCTACTTCATGGTATAGTTAGGTCTCTGAGAAAAATGAGCAAATATGCAGGACAATCAGACCATAAACTGAATCTGTCCTGAATATTCAGAGACCTATAGCTGAAGGGGCATTTTGTTCTCTGTGTTTTTCCAGTAGAAGATCCAGAACAAAAAAGGTGTGATGTTACATCACATGCCCATGATCCTCTGAACAACAAGACTTTCTTGTGACTGAATGACCCAGAAATAACATGTATCTTCAATACTTGGGTGTCAAATTCTAACTAAGATAGGAAGAGAAAACATAAAATGTCCTATAGTTCATAGGGGGATTACTAAATTGGTGGCTTCACTCTCTCACATAAAGAGCCATCTTAGACTTTATACTCTGCGACCCCAAGAAAGGTCATTTAAAAAAAAAAAGTATTTCAACAATAACAAAAAACAGTTGCACCAGGACATGTAAATCAATCAAATCCTTATAATGTAAGCTCAGATAACTCAGTAATAATCTGTTGAACATCAAGCACAAGGCATTGCACCGGCGATAAGAGAAAGAAATGGAAACAGTCATTTTTTTGCCCTCAATGGGAATCCGCCATCTAGGAAACGACCAACAGAGGTCCATGTAACTCCAGCATGAGTCAGATATCACTATTAAACTTTTAAAGCAGGAGTGTTTACAACAAAGTTTTGCAGTGGGCCAAAGCTATCTTTGGGCAGGGAGCTTCTGAGAAAGCCGTATATGACGATGGGTAGGATCACACAGGCAGAAGGCAGAGGTACAGGAGGGAACAGTGGGGAATGAGAAAGAGTGAGGTTCGGGAGACAGGATCTTCTACAAAACACTTTTCTATTCAACTCAAAGGAAGTCCTTACCTCCGTGCAAATGAGAAATGGGCTGAGGCACTGGGGGAGAAATTTCTTGGACTATCTTGAGGGCTGTTTCCTGTAAAGAGAAAGAGAGAAAAATCACAACATGATTCCTATCCCACATCCAGAATCATCGTCTTGCAAGTAATGCATTTCTGTACATTTTTGTCAAACGTCCATCTCCAAGAATGTTTTAGTTTTGCTGGCAGCAGGGCTGGGGGGGTTGGGGGTGTGTGTGTGTATGCCGGGGGCGGGAGAGCAAATGGGCTTGAGTCCCAGCACAGCGTTCCAAGTGCGCAGGTATATAAATAAGCACATTCACCCATCACCAAGCAGCAGTCTTCCACAGATTAATAACCTCAGTATTTCAGGACTAAAGAATAACGTATATACATGTGTCTTGATTCTTAGTCTTGCAGATGTTAACATTTTAAACAGGAGATGGAAGTAGAAGTGTATGCTCCAACTTGTGTGTGTGTGTGGGGGGGGGGGCTCTCTACTTTAGAAAAAGCAGCCTTAGTATTTTTTTATTAACAGAAACCGAGTACATGTCTGAATTCTGGAAAATGAATCCTTGTATTCCAGGGTACATATTTTAAAGGTAGAAATGTCAGAACTGATCATAAAATCCTGGGAAGAACCCAGCAGTCTGGACCTGTTTCCCAAACGACCCAGCTCGGCGCATGGGTGGTTCAGTGGTAGAATTCTCGCCTGCCAAATGACCTAGCTTGCTCTCAGCATGGCCCAAGTGGCCCAGCAGGATTAGCCCTTATCAATATTTTATTCAACAGTCCCCCTGCTCCCAAGCATCTGGGCTGTGACTGGCCAGGCAGGCTTTAAAAGCCACTATCACACAAAGGCTGGCAGGGGGTGTTCTTAAATCCTTCCGTGGGGGGCGTGGGGAGGGGGGAGCACAGACCGCTCACTGTAAAGAGAGCAGCTCCTTGGGGTCTTGTTACTTTCTCCATCAGAACACTCAACCTGCTGCTGATCATTGAGAAAGCTTGGCAGGCAGCTGGTGAGGGGCAGTTCAGGACACTCCAGACCACCCGGCTTCCCTCTGCATGTTTAATTAGACTGGCAGAATTATCTGAGGACCGGATGGAATTGTAGCTGGTTTAAATACGGAGGTGAGGGAAAGCTGCAAACTAAGCTTGTACGATCTTGAAACACGGAAAATAAATCAGGAAGATCTGTTTAATCCTTCACAGCTAGCCAGTTCCCACATTACTGATTTTATAACGGAAGTGACAACTGTAGTTAGGTGTGAGGCATACAAGATTGCATGTTCCAGTCAGTACCTAGCTGTAAACAATTTATAACCTGTGTGCAAAAAAGAACAGACTAACCCATTAAAGAGGATAAGTTTAGTGTTACCTTGAGGACTTCTGGACTGGTTATACCCCTACTGAAATTTTTCAATTAACTTAAGGTTGCAAAGTTTACAGTGATGTCTCCAACAGATGCCATTTACTTTATGACAGACAGCACAATTAAAGCCATTTGAATAGGAAGCGCTGAAAAGCCCATTTCTTTATGGACAGAGAATCTAGAAGCATTTTTCCCTCTGCTGCAATGAAATTTATCATGTCTTTGCATCTGTTGTTCCTTGGGCCCCTGGAGAAATGGATTCTGCTTTTGCCATCCAGTAAGCCAGGACTCTTTCCGTCCATTTATCTACACAGCTAAATTAAGTTCCGTCAACTTCTCCCAACAGCCTTGATTCTCCCTGCCCCATTTCTTCCCAACTTAGCTTATATATCACTCTTCACAGCCTTGAAAGAGCTTGAAAAATTCAACATGGCTAAAAGTTTTGTTTCCTAAAGAGAAATGAATCTAATGCCAAAAATCTTAGTGTAGATTTTATTTGGGGGGAAAAAAAATGTTCGCTTTGCTCACACCCCATATAGATTTCCTAAATTATTAGGAAAAACAAAAACAGTTAATTGTTGGAAGCCAAGGTATGAGAGGTTTAACAATCTCTGCTACCCAATTCATTGAGAATAAATAATGAAACTTGGCACCAAAATCTTAATCCCATGTTCTTTGTAAAGGGAACACTACATCTGGAAATTATAATGAGATCAACTAGAACTAGAGAGAGCTTATTAAATATTTTTAAGAATCTAAAGAAGGGAAAAACAAGGAATTAACTTAAAATTCTTCTCACTTTTAGAGATTTTATTTTATTTATTTTTTTTTTTAATTTTTTTTTTCAACGTTTATTTATTTTTGGGACAGAGAGAGACAGAGCATGAACGGGGGAGGGGCAGAGAGAGAGGGAGACACAGAATCGCAAACAGGCTCCAGGCTCTGAGCCATCAGCCCAGAGCCCGACGCGGGGCTCCAACTCACGGACCGCGAGATCGTGACCTGGCTGAAGTCGGACGCTTAACCGACTGCGCCACCCAGGCGCCCCTCACTTTTAGAGATTTTAATGAGTGGTCCCTAGGAAGCCATGTAACAGCCTACAATACATGGCAACCCCCTCACTTTGAAGATGAGCAGGTAGAGACAGAGATATAAAGAGATAGGTTAATTTAATGCTCTTAATGAAAAAAAATCAAGGCTACCATTAAATAGTTCTGTTTTTATTATTATTTTTCTTTAATGTTCATTTATTTTTGAGAGACAAAGAGGCAGAGGACGAGTGGGGGAGAGGCAGAGAGAGAGGGAGACACGGGATCTGAAGTAGGATCCAGCTCTGAGCTATCAGCCCAGGGACCGAGGCGGGGCTCCAACACACAAACTGTGAGATCACAACCTGAGCTGAAGTCGGATGCTTAACTGAGCCACCCAGGCACCCCAACCATTAACCATTTTCAGTCTTCGGGTTTTGCCTCTGCATCTTGTGCTGCCTTTCTAAGCCAATCGATTGAAAATATTCCTCATTTTCTTCTCATCCACTACATTGCTGTAAAATCAAACGCAAATTCCAAAACTTAAGACTACAAAGCCATCTGCAAAATCTTGCTAATAACAGATCTTTCTTCCTGTTTTATGGCAGATCTAGATTTAAGTGCCAAGGTGTATACACACACACCCCCCACATACTAACACAAAGGCTCTTAAATGTATGGGATATTAGAGAAAATGATGGTGGCCTGAACTACAATATCTGACAATTCATTAAAGACAAGAGACTGCAGCTTCATTTGAAGACGGTTCCGGAAGCTCAAGAGAAGAAATGGAAGAACCTCAGGAAGGAGACAGAAACGACCCAAAGGGAGTAGGGCAATGCAGTAGAGACAGATATTCTGGCAGCAGGGGAGTCAGACTGGTAGAGCCAATGAGTTGTGAACTATGTTTGTTGGTATTAACCAGAGGAGGGCCTCAATAGATGTCTTAACCTCAATAGATGTCTCAGTAGATGGCATAAATGTGTTAGGCGGACAGAGGAGCGGCCAAAGAAGAGGAGCTGAGGTGCTGAGATTAGGACCTGAAAGGCCAACAGAAAAAATATTTTGGTGAGCAAACCTAGCATAATTGGTGATGGACTAGAAATGAAGTAATGAAAATATTACAGACTACAAGTGACCAAACATTTCCAATATGGGTAGACTATGGGTGACTGACTACCCACTGTGGGACAACGAATGCCCATTAGTAGGGAATTTGGAGAGAGAAGTGGCATGGTACCACTAGGAGATGAAAAGGGCGGATGAGCATTCTGTAGATTATTCTGTGTTATTACAGAATATTCCTCAATGTTCCTTAGGGAGAAATAACAAGATTAGCAGATTAGAAAGGCAGGAGTCAAACTTTGAAGTCTGTGTTCTTATTTGAATAAAAATTGATTTCTGGGGCTTCTGGGTGGCTCAGTCAGTTAAGCATCTGGCTCTTGATTTCGGCTCAGGTCATGAGCACACAGTTCATGGGTTCAAGCCCCACATCAGGCTCTGTGCTGTCAGCTTGGGATTTCTTCCCCTCTCTCTGCTCCTCCCTCAGTCGTGCATGCACTCTTTCTCTTGAAATAAATAAATAAACAAACTTTAAAAAATTGATTTCCAGGTTACCTACTCAGTCTCTAAAGCCTTACAGTGCTCAAAATACCACTAACCTAGAACACACAAAAAAAGCACATCTTATATATGTATTCTTAACTCATGAAATGAGGACCAGGCTGCCAGGGATGTGCACACCGAGTCCCCAGGATAAAAAAGCAAGACGGACTGAAACCGGCGTCCTACACATGACCTTCACTGCTCACAGCACTGCGCTCTGAATTCATCCCCCCATCTGCAAAGCAATACCTGAGAGACTCTCAAGCGAAAACTGGTGCCAGTTAATTCTCTGCCCATATGTGCAGCACTTGCTTATAACTCAAATCCTGCTGCTCCCAGGGATTTGCTGGCTCTTGGATGTCTGAGCACTAGGACACTTTATAGGATGTTGTTATTGCCGCTGATGTTTTTGACCTGGTAAAGTAAACCTTAGTAGTGGTCAGGCATTTGGTAGGTAATTAACTCTCTGATCCCGGGGGGTGGGGTTGGGGGGAGGGCTAGAATGGCCAACATACAAGCAATATAACAAATTGGGGCTTTACCTAACGGTTCTGCACAGGGTGCCTCATTGTAGAGGCAGTTATTGTTAAGAAAGTGATTTCCAGATTAATTAAATTGTTTGATTGCTTTGTAATTAGGTTGGAGAAGTCCTGTGTCTTCGCCACAGAGAAACAAGCTGCAAATCTTTTTAAAAGGCATATGCTATACCCACTACAGATTATTAATGTGCTTTTAATAGCTGTCTGTTCGCAAAATGATAGTTTCTGGTTGCCTTGATTTTCTATCAGGACTGAGGGAATCCAAGAATTAATGATAATTGCCATTTGAAACTCCTGGTGGATCAAAGAGTAAGCCCCCATTTGAGTCCTTGTTGTCATTACTTGATGATCAGCTTAAATGACTTGTGCCGTTTTATACTACAACAATCAGTACCGTGTTTCCTATTGCTCCACAGGAGATTCTCAGCAACACACTGCCACTGCTTTAAACCCTAAGACCAGGGGGCGCCTGGGTGGCTCAGTTGGTTGAGCGACCGACTTCGGCTCAGGTCATGATCTCGTGGTCTGTGGAT